CACTTAAACTGGCGTGCTTCCTAAGAATAGGTTTCAGCAACAACATTGGTTCCGTGATTAAGAGTTGTTTCCACCACGCCTTCTTCACTTTCTCCGCCCGGACACAGATTATATTATCCTCTAGGGTCCACGTCACTTCATCTGATTTTATCTTGTCAGCCAAAATACCTCCAAACATTTTCTTGTCCTGGATATAAGCAAAGATTGAGGAAGATGTGTAATTGACTTGCAGAGTTTTCTTCAGCTTCAGACGGTGTTTACAGAGAGGTACGAGTATTTCCAGTTCAGTGGGGGACTGTGTCCACTTGTAATGTTTGTAGGTAGCACCGTCCCCTTCATTTGGATAAACAGAGCCCTTCTTTGTTCTCCTGCTTTCTTCGTAGAACCCATTATGATCCTCCTCTGTTGAGCAAGAGTCTTCAGCAGCAACTTTACTAGACGGCTTGTCAGTATCCTCTTCGTTCTGGACGTTTTGAGCACTGCTGTTCGGACTATCAGCATTGTTTTCACTCCCGACTTCCTCGATACTGGCTGTTTCGACCTGCGGGATAGGGACACACTTCTCAGCACTTCGGTTTTTGTGAACTTCGCAGAACTCCTGGAATGACATCAGGACCATGTGTTGGGCGGCCTCAGTTGAAGCTTCGTAGAAATCTGTTTGTCGTTGGAGGAATCCGAAGAAAGATCGGAGAAGAGGTTGGATACCCTTAACTTGGTGAGCTGCATATAGGAATATCTTATCTAAATCTTTCCCTTCTTGAACCCCTTTCTGTGTAGCTGTGACCATAGCGAGCTTGCTGTCATTTCAGAAATGAGAAAGTTAGTTTCCAATTGCAAATTCATTTCCAATTATCATAAATAATAAAATATCAATTGTACGTCAATATTACAGTGAGGCCAACATTATCAAGAATGTACTGCCGTCATTTCCACACAATGCTAACAATATAGCCGTATGCAAAGTAACTGACGGAGGGTGAGGTGATTTGAAAATCCTGCAGACGTATTACACAAGAACGGAACGATCCTCAAAAGGAAAATTGAAAGCTCTAGCAACCTTAAGTAATGACAGTAGTTAAGAACTGCAATTAGTGAGTGAGAACTGCAATTAGTAATACTGTTGAACTAAAAGCACCTGTATGAATAGTGTTCTGCCGTGTTTATAATTTAGAATTAGATGTTTACACACAGAATTGAGACACCAGGTGTGTGGGAATTACTTTGTCTCAACTGTAGTTTATACACTCACAAATAATACTTACATTTCACGGGAAACTTAACCAGCTGAGATTAATTTACTTTTTCTTAGACAGCTGCAAAATCAGCAGTGGTTAAGTTTATTTATCGTGGCATATTATGAAGAACTGGTGTGATAGCTCGCTGTAAAGCCAAAGGTGCGGATCATCAGTCGATACCAGGCTGCTCCCTCTTTGTCTAATCTCACTCACTCACTCACTCACTCACTCACTCATTCACTCACTCACTCACTCACTCACTCATTCACTCACTCACTCACTCACTCACTCACTCACTCACTCACTCACTCACTCACTCACTCACTCACTCACTCACTCACTCACTCACTTACTCACTCACTCACTCACTCACTCTGTTCCCAGCCTGCTGAATTAAAAGACTCCCACAATTAAATAAAACAGTGAATGTATCATGAGTAGGCTGAACCACGTGCTCTTTTCTCTTCTCATTAAAAGAGTGGCACTGTTTACTCACACTGTGTACCTGCACTACAGCTCATTCTCTAATCACAGCTGGTAAAGAGTGATCACTCTTAATCTAGACGTCCTGTGTTCTATGTTGACGCTGTATGTAATAGTGTTAGTGTTGTCGGGGGGCGGGGGGGGCGTGTTGTCAGTATTACACCTATAAGTGTATAACAATCTCAGTAATAGTCGTTGTGTGTTTTCTAACAGTGTATTATAGTTAGCTAGATGTTGGGGCTCTTTTTTCACACTTTGTCTCAATGATTAGCTTGTTTCAGTAAGATAATTCTCCTTTTCGTTTTCTCTTCTTGAGTTGAGAGTAACTTAGGGGGGGGGGGGGGGGGGGGGGGGGGGGGGGGGGGGGGGGGGGGGGGGGGGGGGGGTTGCCAGGCAACGTTGCGCCACTGAGTTCCGTTACCTCTGGTTTTTCTGTGATATGCTTTAATTTAGTTATACCAACGCGTCTCCCACTGCACATGACCATCTATTACTCGACTACATACTCAACCATTATAGGATAATAAGCCATGGGCAGAATCTTCACCTAACGCATGTGCTTTCGCGATACTGCAAGCGCAAGTGCCCTCTGGATACAGCAAGGCAGAATCTATAGTTCAGTAAAATAGAACCAGCAAAATACAGCTGCTAACTACATTCTGCCGAGGTCTGCATGCTCTGGCAGACTGTCCATTTGGTACTAATCAGAAAAACGAAGAGTATCGCAGGTATGACTGATTTCATGGCATGGTATTGTCTTGAAAAGTCTGCGATCTACTGACAATAAATTACACTCTCTAAATTATTGTATCACGTGGTGACCCCCACGGTCGCTTCACTATAGCGTCTTCGACGCTACAGGGGGAGCCGCGCACTTCGTGCGCGGCGGGTCATACAACGTATGACAACTAAATTACACTCTCTAAAGTACACTCTCTAAATTACACGTCTTCATTGAAATTTTCTCGAAATCGACCCTTTTATTTGTATCTAATAGAGGGGAATGATATCTATCAAGTATCAACTGCTTTCAATCCCATGGAAAAATAATGTTTCTAGCCGAAGTTATCGCCGGTCAAAGGTCAACACTTATGAGTAATTGTATTGCGTGAGCGATTTCCAATTCAGTTATGAAAATCGAACTTTAAAATCCTTTCCTACAGTTTTTGAGCAATCAACCTGCAACTTTCAGGATTTATCCTAGCGGGATCATTTGAAAGAGATTTACGATCTACACATAATTTTCAACTCACCCTGTGCAGTGTGCACACAATATGCAATAGTTCGTAACAGTTTCAGTGCCCAGGGATGGTACAAAAGCTGAAGCTACTCCGCACCAATTAGGAACTGGAAGTAGCAGTGCAGAATAGTTTAACAACACAGTAACCAGTAACCTGGTGCGGCTCTACATTTCAAGAACCCAACATCCCACACTTACATCTTACATCTCTCCTTTAAGTTTCAACACTTACACCTCCCCCTGTTATTACGTACTCGAGTAGATGAGAATTAATAAAACACAAACGTGACCATATGGTGACCACTCCTCAGAACGCACTTAACTCCCATGTTATAATATAGGCTGTAAGTCCCTCCTCCTTTTAGTGTTTACTTATGTAAAGACTATAGCTCCTCCTTCTTTCTCACCTCCCTGGCATTGTGTTCAACACACAGTCAACTTTTGTTTTATTCGTCGTTTTACACAGTTGGTGACTAAAACACATTTCATTAGTTTATATATTATGATGAACGGTTTCGCTTGCTGGGATTGGTCTTCTGTTCCACAACACGTTTAGATAGCGGCAACTGATTCTGAGTCTTGATATCCTGTTTATTATCTCTATTATATTTATAGGCCAGTACAAGGACCCACCATTCATCGTGAATGGTGGGTCCTTGGTGGAGCTCCACACTTGGCACCATGCCATTGTCTACAGTTTACTCCGCACTACACCAATTATTACACACACATATTTACATAACACACTACATAACAGCTTGAACTCATATTTCGTGTTGCTTTGTTTTCCTATTAGTTAATAATGATAATAGGTCGTATTTCACTTGCCTCTGTGACGTGTCTTTTGGCGAATCTCTGCTGTTATTTTTGATATTTCGTTACAATACCGTTTGTTTCACAGCTGCAACATATAAGTTCAGTGTGTACAGAATCGAACTATTGGCCTAATACCACACTTTTTTGCACCATCGGCCGTTATTCGTTTTATCAGATTTGTGTACTTCAACTTAAGGTATAGCTGTGTAAAATAAAATAAGATCGACGTGTCCAATTTAATAATTATGGTCCGTTAGGGTCAAACGTTTTTTGGACGTATATTTAGTAACTTTAACAATAAAAAACATTGAAAAGTAGAATTACCTTTTTAAAGCAGGAAAACATATATAGAGCAATTTTTCTTCCTGAAAATATTTCCAGAAAGTTTTTAATTATTATTATCAGATGGCAAGTTGATAATACATTGGCTATTGATACTATCGATATTTGATTTAAAAACAAAAGAGGGTGAATAACTTGTCAAGCTGGATCACAATCCCTGAACAGATTAAAATTGAGTAGCTGCACACTTGTAAATACCGTGTATATATTGGATTTGTATAACTCACACTTGAGTCACCTTATAGGTTATACACGTCATGTTATGTGGTATCAGTAGTCAATGACTAGACAGGGTTATTGAAAATTACAAAGAATAAAATGGCGTCTGGACTTGGGACCAGCTCATAGTATATTTCATTAATGCCCTCTGTGGTATGTGTTAGTTTAAACACATTACACACAGTGTATCGGGATATTATACTGTAAAATTACAATATTAAATACTCTGCCTCAACTATGCTCATTACAGCTCAACTCTTGTGTGTCACCCTAGTAACCGCTCTAGTAACCGCCCTAGTAACAACTCTTGTGTTACCTGCGGACCCCTGTAACTCTTGTGCTGTAACTCTTGTGCTGTAACTCTTGTGTTTTAGTCTTACGTCGCGGGACCTATTTTTTTGTGGCTATTCGTCACATTTAAAACCTTCTATGAGGGTAATTCTATACACTTTAAATTATCAGGAATCTTATAATATGTAATATGTTATGATTGCATATTTTATTCTAAATTTTTTATATTTCAGTATATGTAATTGTAATTGGATGGAAACGTTTTAACCGAGTGTTGCTAGTACCTCTTCCTCCATAATATGAAACATTTGAATTTCACTTCAATGTTTTTGATTTCTCGTTTGACAAATATAATTCACCCTACAACTCTCCAAAGAAAACGAAGAGATAAGCATGTAGTTTTGATAAGAAGATGACGGGAGATGAGAGTTAACATGGCGCGTGTTATTTATGGACATCACGTCTACGTCTGACCGCCAGATGGATGAAAAACGGGTTCTCACAAAAGCTGACTACATCCCGGTAAATATCAAGTACATCCCGGTAAATATCAAGTACATTCCGGTAAATATCAAGTACATTCCGGTAAATATCAAGTACATCCCGGTAAATATCAAATACATTTCGGTAAATATCAAATACATCCCGGTAAATATCAAGTACATCCCAATAAATACCAAGCACATCCCGTTAAATATGCAGTATATCCCGGTAAATATCAAGTACATCCCGGTAAATATCAAGTACATCCCGGTAAATATCAAGTACACGCCGGTAAATATCAAGTACATTCAGGTAAATATAAAGTATATCCCGGTAAATACCAAGTACATTCCGGTAAATATGCAGTATATCCCGGTAAATATCAAGTACATCCCGGTAAATATCAAGTACATCCCGGTAAATATCAAGTACATCCCGGTAAATATCAAGTACATCCCGGTAAATATCAAGTACATTCCGGTAAATACCATCTTCTTGAATCTAGATGTCGTGTGTTCTAATTTCTACTTTCAACATCTTGAAGTTGAATGTTAGATTATCATGAACAAAGCTTATCGATTCGTCTCCAAAACCCCACTTCCTTCACTTCTAATTTACTAATCCTGAAAACAATGTCCATGGTCTGATTCCCTTCCTGCAGATACAACTTGCAATCAACTGCTTTGTTACAAATATGACAATAAGCTTATTTTGGAGTCTCACTTGCAAGCAGTTGGCCAATTGCACTTTGCACTAAAATAACGAACTATTTTTGAATAGTTTTGATTTGAAATGAAGCTATTCTCTGATTTCCTCTTGTGTTAGTTTTTGTAAGATCTCCTCACTGCTGTTAGTACTATGACTTTGTGCGGATATATAGGTAACAAGAGGTTTACTAAAGACAAGCTCCTTTACCCAGCCCACACGTCCATAAACCATTTACGAACTGGACAAAATGGCCAGATCTGTGGTGACCATAGTAACCAGATCTGTGGTAACCATAGTAACCAGATCTGTGGTAACCATAGTAACCAGATCTGTGGTAACCATAGTAACCAGATCTGTGGCTCTGTGCTGGCTAGAACTGCTCTTCTTAGCCTATATTCACCTTCTCCTTCTCTCAAATATAACGTTTCTCAGGTTCAAGTTGATGCATATATTTTATAAATTGAAATTATGACTTGACATAACAAACAAATTTTCATGACGTCACACGCCACGTGACATGACGTCACACGCCACGTGATGTGACGTCACATGCCACGTGATGTGACGTCACATGCCACGTGACACTACATTTCAGTTAAAAGAAGTAACAGGGAGGGTAGAATCTCAGAGCGGTTCACTTGACGAGAGAAAGTACACTGTTGATGAGGCTCTCAGGGAAATTGGGCTGGGTGTTTACCATCTTAAATGGGTAGGATTATAGTAACCATAGTAACCATGGATAGGAGCATATTAATCATAGTAACCATAGTAACCATAGTAATCATAGTAACCATAGTAACCATGGGTAGGAACCTGGAACATAATATTGCGCGTTAAATTACCTTAAACTGGTCTTGTTGAGATGAAATCTATAGCTTTTAAGTTGTGGCTCTGAACGTATCTAGCCCTAAACTGAATGATTTTTTCAATGATTATCAGTGTTGTGAACCCCTCCGTTTCAGATCCCTGTAATAGCAATGTCCGGCACCACTAACTCCTCCGTTTCAGATCCCTGTAATAGCAATGTCCGGCTTCACTAACTCCTCCGTTTCAGATCCCTGTAATAGCAATGTCCGGCTTCACTAACTCCTCCGTTTCAGATCCCTGTAATAGCAATGTCTGGTTTCACCCAGTCCTCGATGATCGCTCTGGCTCCTCTTCTTATTACATCTCTCCAATGTCAGTGGGATCTCAACATACCCATCCAGATCCTTCTTCTCTTCGTCATCTTCTTCGGCAGTTTCCCTGGAGATGTTCTGTCTGGGGTAAGTTTCCCTGGAGATGTTCTGTCTGGGGTAAGTTTCCCTGGAGATGCTCTGTCTGGGGTAAGTTTCCCTGGAGATGTTCTGTCTGGGGTAAGTTTCCCTGGAGATGTCCTGTCTGGGGTAAGTTTCCCTGGAGATGTTCTGTCTGGGGTAAGTTTCCCTGGAGATGTTCTGTCTGGGGTAAGTTTCCCTGGAGATGTTCTGTCTGGGGTAAGTTTCCCTGGAGATGCTCTGTCTGGGGTAAGTTTCCCTGGAGATGTTCTGTCTGGGGTAAGTTTCCCTGGAGATGTTCCTGTCTGGGGTAAGTTTCCCTGGAGATGTTCTGTCTGGGGTAAGTTTCCCTGGAGATGTTCTGTCTGGGGTAAGTTTCCCTGGAGATGTTCTGTCTGGGGTAAGTTTCCCTGGAGATGTTCTGTCTGGGGTAAGTTTCCCTGGAGATGTTCTGTCTGGGGTAAGTTTCCCTGGAGATGTTCTGTCTGGGGTAAGTTTCCCTGGAGATGTTCTGTCTGGGGTAAGTTTCCCTGGAGATGTTCTGTCTGGGGTAAGTTTCCCTGGAGATGTCCTGTCTGGGGTAAGTTTCCCTGGAGATGTCCTGTCTGGGGTAAGGTTCCCTGGAGATGTTCTGTCTGGGGTAAGTTTCCCTGGAGATGTTCTGTCTGGGGTAAGTTTCCCTGGAGATGTTCTGTCTGGGGTAAGTTTCCCTGGAGATGTTCTGTCTGGGGTAAGTTTTCCTGGAGATGTTCTGTCTGGGGTAAGTTTCCCTGGAGATGTTCTGTCTGGGGTAAGTTTCCCTGGAGATGTTCTGTCTGGGGTAAGTTTCCCTGGAGATGTTCTGTCTGGGGTAAGTTTCCCTGGAGATGTTCTGTCTGGGGTAAGTTTCCCTGGAGATGTTCTGTCTGGGGTAAGTTTCCCTGGAGATGTTCTGTCTGGGGTAAGTTTCCCTGGAGATGTTCTGTCTGGGGTAAGTTTCCCTGGAGATGTTCTGTCTGGGGTAAGTTTCCCTGGAGATGTTCTGTCTGGGGTAATTTGGGGAAATTGGTAGATCACCGACCGGCTATAAACCGGTTATAAGCCGGCTATGAACCGGCTTATAGCCGGCTACAATTTTTATAGCCGGCTATAAGCCGGCTTATAGCCGGTTAGTAGCCGCTTACATTTGTTGTTGAGCGACGGCTATTAGCCGGTTATAAGCCGGCTATTAGCCGTTTAGGTATCGGCTATAAGAAATTCAGTGAAAACAGCTATTAGCCGGTTATAAGCCGGCTATAAGCCGGCTATAAGATATTAACTTAACTTCATCGTACTGAACTGAGTTAATATCTTATAACCGGCTTATGACCACTTTCGATACCTAAACGGCTAATAGCCGGCTTATAACCGGCTAATAGCCGTTTTCACTGAATTTCTTATAGCCGGCTCCTGACTATCGTTCAGTACGATGTAGTTGAGTTAATATCTTATAACCGGCTTATAACCACTTTTAATACCAAAACGGCTAATAGCAGGCTTATAACCGGCTAATAGCCGTCGCTCAACAACAAATGTAAGCGGCTACTAACCGGCTATAAGCCGCAGGGACAAAAAGATTTCGCGATTATTTTGGTCAAAAATCGCGGTACCGCGAAATTTAACAGGCTATACATTAAACTATACATAAAATTTGTCACGGAGAATGGGAAATTTCGCGATTTCGTACATGCCGCGAAATCCTTTTGTCTCTGATAAGCCGGCTTATAGCCGGCTATAAAAATTGTAGCCGGCTATAAGCCGGCTTATAGCCAGTTAGTAGCCGGCTTATAGCCGGTCGGTGATCTACCAACTGGCCGTAATTTGGAATAGTACATACCGATTTCTGTTAATAAAACCTGCTCAGGTACTGTCGGATAAATACGGGAGAAAGTTACCGCTGATAGTGGGACAGTTGTTGCTGCTGATATTCACTGTCTTATCAACTGTGAGCTTCAACTACGTCTTCTTCTCCGTCTGTTACTTCTTCATCGGGGTCGCTATAGGTAACGATGATAGTAACCATAATAACCATAGTAACCATAATAACCATAATAACCATAATAACCATAGTAACCATAGTAACCATAGTAGCTATAGGTCCCTAATAACCAAAGCAATCCTTAAATAACCGTAGCAACCCTCTAGTAACTGTAGTAACTCCCAGGTATGCTAATGTGCTTGTCAGTAGTAACTGTAGTAACTCCCAGGTATGCTAATGTGCTTGTCAGTAGTAACTCCCAGGTATGCTAATGTGCTTGTCAGTAGTAACTGTAGTAACTCCCAGGTATTCTAATGTGCTTGTCAGTAGTAACTGTAGTAACTACCAGGTATGCTAATGTGCTTGTCAGTAGTAACTGTAGTAACTCCCAGGTATTCTAATGTGCTTGTCAGTAGTAACTGTAGTAACTACCAGGTATGCTAATGTGCTTGTCAGTAGTAACTGTAGTAACTCCCAGGTATGCTAATGTGCTTGTCAGTAGTAACCGTAGTAACTCCCAGGTATGCTAATGTGCTTGTCAGTAGTAACTCCCAGGTATGCTAATGTGTTTGTCAGTAGTAACTGTAGTAACTCCCAGGTATGCTAATGTGCTTGTCAGTAGTAACTGTAGTAACTCCCGGGTATGCTAATGTGCTTGTCAGTAGTAACTGTAGTAACTCCCAGGTATGCTAATGTGCTTGTCAGTAGTGCTCCTCTCGGAGTTGTCTCCCCCTAACTTCAGATCCTACTCAGTAACCCTCTTCCTTCTGTCATGGGTCCTAGGAGCGCTTTACTCCTGCGCTGTCACTTATGGACTCCTTAATAAACATGGCTGGGAGGTCAGATTTGAACTATTTTAAATCTTTTAAAATGAGGCCTACCCTGCCTACATATTGGAGATTAGGGAAAAATTGTAGAACTCATTTTAATTAAGGTCCCCGGAAGTGTCATCATTCTAAATTTTGTATATTTTTCCAGTCCCGTCGAGACACAATTCATTACCGCAGATAGTCACGTTTGTGGTCGCGATTCCACACATTCTGATTACTATTGTTATTCTACTGGTGGACGAATCTCCGAAATACCTGGCCATTACAGGTAACCATAGCAACTATTACAGGTACACAACAGATAACTGTTTAAATATTGGTAACTTAGTTACTTTTGAATTGAACACCGAAGTAACCAATAACCATAGTAACAATAGTAACCACAGTAACCATAGTTACCAGAGTATCAATGGTTATCATTGCATTACTTTAGTAACTTTGGTAACCATGGTAACCGCAGGTCAGATAGCAGGAGCAGAACAGGTACTGAACAGAATGGCGGTTCAGAACAATTCAGACTTTGAGATCGTTGGAAAACTTTGTATGAGGATAGAAAACAACAGGTTTTTAACAAAATGTATATTAATATTTAGAATTTATATGCACATTTCTTAACATTATGTTATAGTGTGTGTTAGATATAATACTGATACATATATTTACCACATTTCTTAACATTATGTTATAGTGGGTGTTAGATATAATACTGATACATTATGTTATAGTGGGTGTTAGATATAATACTGATACATTATGTTATAGTGGGTGTTAGATAAAATACTGATACATTATGTTATAGTGGGTGTTAGATATAATACTGATACATTATGTTATAGTGGGTGTTAGATATAATACTGATACATTATGTTATAGTGGGTGTTAGATATAATACTGATACATTATGTTATAGTGGGTGTTAGATATAATACTGATACATTATGTTATAGTGGGTGTTAGATATAATACTGATACATTATGTTATAGTGTGTGTTGGATATAATACTGATACATATATTTACCAGAGGAAGTTTAGGGGAGGTTATAGCGCCTGAATACCGTAAAGAGTTCGCTCTCTTATCTCTATCTCTGGGATTTGTGGGTCTTATCGTCTCCTCGAGGTACTTTATATACACTTACATTACCATAGTAACTAACAGTAACCATAGTAACTACAATAACAATAGTAACTAACTAACAGTAACCGTAGTAACTACACGACAGTAACCATACTGACTACAATAACAATAGTAACTACCTAACAGTAACCATAGTAACTAACTAACAGTAACCATAGTAACTTACTAACAGTAACCATAGTAACTAACTAACAGTAACCATAGTAACTACAATAACAATAGTAACTAACTAACAGTAACCATAGTAACTACACAACAGTAATTATACTGACTACAATAACAATAGTAACTAACTAACAGTATCCATAGTAACTACAATAACATTAACCATAGTAACTAAATAACAGTAACCATAGTAACTAACTAACAGTAACCATAGTAACTAACTAACAGTAACCATAGTAACTAACTAACAGTAACCATAGTAACTAACTAACATTAACCATAGTAACTAACTAACATTAACCATAGTAACTAACTAACAGTAACCATAGTAACTAACTAACATTAACCATAGTAACTAACTAACAGTAACCATAGTAACTACAATAACAACAGTAACTACTTAACAGTATCCATGATAACTTCCTTGCAGTAACCTCAGAAACTCCCCTGCAGTTACGCGATGACCCCTTACGTAATGAAAAGTAACCACTGTAATTATTTCAACTCAACAGACTTCAGCGCTGAAAAGTGTAAGATCCCCGAAGCCATGCTCAAAGAAACAGCAATAGTAAGTAACCATGGTAACCTATAGAAAGTAACCATGGTAACCTATAGTAAGTAACCATGGTAACCTATAGTAAGTAACCATGGTAACCTATAGTAAGTAACCATGGTAACAACATAATGGGGGCGGTGTGGTAAGTGCTACTTACCACACCGCTATTACTGACTTCAAACTTAAAAACATGACATTAATTTAATAGAGTTGATTGAACAGACATTGTAAGACAAAGATGCTGTTTTCAGATAACAACCTCGGAGATAGTGATGTTGCCGATATTTGCTTTTGTTAACGAACTGTTTGGAAGGCTCAAAACACTCCGGCTTCTCTCAGCCTTGCTTCTCCTCTCCAGCTTCCTATTAGGTAATAACTAATAGTGGACATGGAAACACCGTGCAAAACTATTAACTGTCATAAGGTATGCAAATTGAGGTTTTGCGGTGATTGATCTATTAAGATCACTATAATTATACGATTAATTACACAACTAATTAACTTTATATTTCAGTGTTTTGTTTAGGAAGTGCAGTGTTTGTTTCCTGCCTGTATGTCCAGAGAGGTGCCGCTCAATCTCTGTTGCTCATTCTCCTTATCTACACTCCTGAGTGCTTCCCAACTCACATCAGAGGTAACCATAGTAACCACCTAACAGTAACCGTAGTAACAGTAACCATAGTAACTACCTGCGCTCTCTAACAGCCGGTAAATGGCCATTTTAATTTAATTTCTAACAGCTCTTTCCACCCACCTTGGTCAGCTCTTTGTTTTAAAACTATGATCTTCTGACTGTCCCTCTGAGATCTGGTTTCCTCCACTAATTGTAACCATAACAACACTATGTAACCATAACAACACCATAACAACACGCCAGGAGTAGGATGCGGACTGACTATGCTGTTTCTGTTTCTAGGAGGTCTGATCTCCTCTACCATGGTCTACCCTGTGGGGGTCCAACACGGCTTCTCTCACCTGGAGATAGCCCTGACTCTGGCTGCTTTCTGTACTCTGGTATCCGTGTCCTTCCTTACTAACGAAACTAGGGGCACTGATCTGCCTTAGTAGGCCTTTAGTGGGCAGTTCAGACGGTGTGGATTTACCGTGGTGTCTGCACAATGCACATACTGCTGCTTCTGCTGTGGACAATTCAGACGGGGACCTTCAGTTGCTCGACTACTTCAGAGCGGTGCTGCTCACTCTCTTGCTCACTCTCTTGCCTACTTTCAGAGAGGTGCTGCTCACTCTCTTGCTCACTCTCTTGCCTACTTCAAGAGAGGTGCTGCTCACTCTCTTGCTCACTCTCTTGACTACTTCAGAGAGGTGCTGCTCACTCTCTTGCTCACTCTCTTGACTACTTCAAGAGCGGTGCTGCTCATTCTCTTGCTCATTCTCTTCCTCATTCTCTAATCTCTTGCTCGTTCGGTTGCACTCGTTTTTAAAACTTGACCTTTTTCCCGTAATTATTTCCTTGTGAACGTTTCATGACACTGTGTCCAATAAAAGTGCACATTTTTATCAGATAAATGCCCCTAATTCAAGTTTGTAAGTAATTAATTTGAACTGGCGAATAATTATTTTATTTATGTAATATTTATCCAGTTCCTGTTTTTAATCTTGTTATTAATCATTTGTAGATAAGTTCTACTTTATTTGAATTTAGTTCAATCTAGAAAACTTTGTTTCATTGTTTGCGAAGTACACTATAGAATTTTAAGATTCGTTCAATGCTATTTTATAAACTTTTTGCGTATATCTTCATAATCAGTAAGGTACATCAAAACTGTTTACTTTTGGTGAACATGGCGAGTAAGGTTCATCAAAACTGACAAAACTGAGCTCTATTATTGTCGTATAGTACCAGAAAACACATTTAATATCCCAATTTGATACTTTGAAAATAAAAAACTAAAATGGTGAAAAATAGTGAATGATTTTTATGGTGAATTGGGTTTCCAAATTGTAAAATTTCACCATTTTTCACCATATGATCAAAAATTGACAATAAATGGTAAAATTAAAACACTCTAAATAATAAACAAACAACCCAAATACAGAATATAATACCAAAGTAAACAACAAAATACACACATATTAATCATGCCAAGATTATAAACAGTACAATAAGATTCAAATAAACTACAACATTTTCTGATTGAATTGTTTGTTGCTAAGTAACCTGCTCTGCTAGAGTGATTGTGCTTAATAATTCTAATTGAATTAGAATTTATTCCAAACCTTTGAAGCAATGAAGTTCAAATTGAAACAGGGTGAAACACGTGTCAAGACAAACACGTCTAAATCTATTTACATGTTATTAAATAAATGATATAAATCCCCGTAAAAATAAAACTTGTAGCGTACATACTGACGGTTTGTAAAATTAAATGATATAAATAAAAACAAATTTAACGAAAAACATCTATTATAGCTATGGTACTATTAGATTAACCAATTATTGTCCATTTCATCAGATCAAGTAATTCATGTTCAATGTTCATTGTAACCTGTACTGCTAGAGTTATTGTTGCTAAGCAACGTAAACCTCTTGTTTCTTGTTCTTATCAGCTCTGCTCTGCTCCAAAGATCTAAATGTCACTGCACTGTAAACCACTCCGCCCAATGCACTTACTGTTATTCCTGATAATTCACAAAGTCAAGTTTGTGTCAAGTTTGTTTATCACTCAATAAACAAACGCTCACATAAACGTAATCCGTATGCTCTCAGTATAAGTTAGTGTGAAATACTAACCAAAGAAGTTGAGCCAGCTGAAGATGTAATCTCCCCCGAACCAATGTAACATACCAATGTAAGTAATAGCAGCACTCTTCAGAACACCTGCAATACAAATGGCTAAAGCTAAAGGTGCAACCTCACTGGTTAATATCGCTGTCACGTGTCAGAACTTGTTTTGGAAAGTTCAGAATTCCTAAAACCTATCATCTATCCGCAAACCAAACAGAACCTGCCACATTGTAAGTAAGAGGCCCACACACCGCAGTACACAGAATAGCACTGTACATCAGAACGAAGCCCAGAACATTAATCAGAACAAACTGGGCACAAAACCAGCTGTCGGACCAGCCCGCGTACACTTTCACCTGAACAGTTGGAGAATTACTTTAAAACACGGCTCCATTACTTAAATATGTTTTTATTGCGGCTTCATTAATAAAGTTATTTCCACTTTAATTAATAACTTTAGTCCTACTTAATTAGTATACGAAAACGTTATGAAAAGTGTTGAATTAATCAAAACAAACCGTTTGGAATTCTCCAGAAATAATGAAAGCCAGAAGTGACAAGGGAAGGGAAATTATCGAATTATAGTACATCAAACCGAGCTTCCCCATCAACTGGGAAAATACATCAGATAAAGTAATGAAGGCATCATGACGATCTCTGGGTTCTAAAATACAAACCCAAAGTGGCTTGTACAGCTGCAGGGTGTCAGAATTATTGGCGTGTTTGAAATTTTATGTGTATTTTATGATGAAATCAATATTTTTCGACGGGTCATAACTTTACTTCTGAATATCAGAATTACAAAATTCAAAAACTGGTCTGTAGACAATCGTCTGAACTTTTTCTTAATTTCCGAATTTTGTGTTGATGTACCTCAAAACCCATAATTTAGGCCGTTATTTTACGCGCCAATAATTATGACACCCTGCTGTAAATAGGGACAGAAAAATCATGGATGTTGGATGTGATCTGACAAAATTCACGGGAACCTACCTTTTTATCGTTGATTTTCTTGAGGTATATAGAATAGGCAGCCGTGAAGAGGTCATTCAGCAAGACTAGCGTGTAACCATAGCTATCGTAGGCTAAATCACCTCTGCAAAATTTAATTATCTGTTAGAATCGCTTAAAAACAGTAGGAAGAAGGACTATCATGTGGAAATACGCGCGCGCAGTAAATATATCCATTAATAAGGTACAGAGCGCAAAATATTCAATTTGATTACTAATGCGCCCTACAACTCCAACATTGAGTAGACCCTTTTACTCTAGCAAATTTTAATAAGAGTGTTCGGTACTCACTGTTGACGTTATTATTACAGGATAACTCACATGAACGCTATGATAACACCACCCAACATCGCAACAACCGTCACCACGGTCAACTTTGAAAATCTTTTTCTGAAATAATGATCATAAGAGATCTTACGCTAATGTAATTATTACGCAATGTCTTATAGCGATACAAGTCATTTCAATTCAATTCTAATGAGATATTTATATTTGGTTACACCCACTAAATTACCCTGACCCTGACCCTGAATCAAACCTTAGGATAGTGATTTCTCCGATCATAACAAATAAGACAGTGAATCTTCTAAGAACTTGAAACATGGGGATACTGAAAAGGAAGAACTAAGAAGTGAACATCTTATTTGGTCTAATTAACAATTTGACAAATTAATTTCAATTTGCAATAATTTATAACCTGGAGGGGATTTGTTTAAAACATATAATACGAAAAGTTTGTTTTAGCAGGAGCTTTTAAAATACATGTGTTAATCGTCTTCAGCTGTTAGATTTATAAAATCTTCTAATCAACGAAAAATGAACGTTTTATAAAATCAATATATCACATTAAAATAGGTACCTTAAGCTTTGTGTGCTTCCAAGACCAACTAGTAGATTAACAAGATGAATCAGAGGTAGGGGCATCACCTGACAAATTATCAACAAATTACTATCAGTTAAATAAATAATAGATAATCAGTTAATTATAATTGACTAATTGATGTAGACTAATCAATTGCTAATACTAGAGGAGTATGTATACCCTGTATAACTAACTAGTTATAGTGGTTACTAGTGGTTGCTAATGGTTACTAATGGTTACTAATGGTTACTATTGGTTACTAATGGTTACCAATGGTTACTAATGGTTACTAACGTCTCTGATAGAGGAAACTGAGAGAGCAGGAAAGGTAACTATTCTCAATAACTTCAACACTTCCAACACTATAACAGTGACAATCAGCTGTACTAGTGTCACAAACTGGACGCTAGGAAACCTGCAATATGTTGTGGTTATATATCTGTAAGTTTAAACACATCCTTTTTGAAATAATTACTAATGATCCAATAAATAAAACCATGTGCTGAAGGTTTTGTGGTTACTAGTGGTTAAAAATGGGTACTAATGGTTACTAGTGGTTATTAGTAGTCACTAGTAGTTGCTAGTGGTTACCTGTAGTTACTAGTGGTTACTAATGCAGTGGTTACTAGTGGTTACTAGTGCAGTGGTTACTAATGCAGTGGTTACTAGTGGTTACTAGTGGTTACTAATGCAGTGGTTACTAGTGGTTACTAATGCAGTAGTTGCTAGCGGTTACCTGTAGTTACTAGTGGTTACTAGTGGTTACTAGTGCAGTGGTTACTAATGCAGTGGTTACTAATGCAGTGGTTACTAGTGCAGTGGTTACTAATGCAGTGGTTACTAATGGTTACTAATGCAGTGGTTACTAGTGGTTACTAATGCAGTGGTTACTAGTGGTTACTAATGCAGTGGTTACTAGTGGTTACTAGTGGTTACTAGTGGTTACTAGTGGTTACTGGTGGTTACTAGTGGTTACTAGTGGTTAATGGTTATGTGTGTTTTAACTCACTTGTAGATGGTTAGTACGCTCTTGTTAGCGGTTATTATAGCGAAGGAAGTACACATATAGAAGAGAGTGGAGCAGACCCATCTGATTTGGTGAAGAGAGTAACTCATTTAACTAGTGGTTACTAGTGGTTACTAGTGGTTACTAGTGGTTACTAGTGGTTACTAGTGGTAACTAGTGGTTAATAGTGGTTACTAGTGGTTACTAGTGGTTACTAGTGGTTACTAGTGGTAACAACCCCTTCACAACGCATCATCACATTATCTTCTTCGTTTCTTTACATCCTAACTAGAAGAGACATAATAATATAACGTGTTAGTTACCTAGATTCAAGAGACAGGCTCAATACAAGTTTCACAAGACAGGTCCAAATCCATGTAATATAGTATACTATCTGGCGACAGGTATCAATCCTAATATATCACCCCCCCCCCCCCCCCCCCCCCCCCAAGTAAAGGCTTTTAGTTTATAAAAGGTTTTGGTGTATGTCAGGTACAAGATAAGAAGTATCAGGTGTATAAAAAGTAAGTTTCTAAAATAGAACAGTGTACAAAGTACAGGGAGGTGGATAAGGTTACAAGTAGTTACTAATGGTTACTAATGGTTACTAATGGTTACGTCTTGTCGGTATTCAAGTTTAGTGGTTAAGGTTACATGTAGTTACTAAATATATATTCAAGTAGTTTTACAAAGAAACGCCAGAACAGGGCAAGTACGAACGTAGTGTTCATTACTGGGACGAAATGAGAAACATGATATTTTATACAGTATTCAATCTGGCATCAACAATTTGAGACTTTAAGAAACAATTTGAACATTGCAGCACTGCTATTTATTAATTAACAAAATGAAAACAAATATATGATTTACCTCAATAAGATAACAAATGTGTAAAAAACAGTACGTAACAAACTAAAATCAAACATTTGATAAAATGTGAGTAAAATTGAACGCGTTAATATAAAATTTAGCTACATTACGATAAAATTCCCTCCTTCAACAAATTAACCATAGCATCATCTCCCGTGTTCACTTCGCGATGCTTATTAAACACATGCTGATAAAACCGTTTTTTCTCAACCTATTTCAGATGATCTGAGCATAAAAATCATTCGTCACGTGAACTCACCAGTAAGTGGTTACTAATAGTTACTAGTGGTTACTAGTGGTTACTAGTGGTTACTAATAGTTACTAGTGGTTACTAGTGGTTACTAGTGGTTACTACCACGATGTGCTCACAATTATATCAAAACACGCAAAAAACTGAAATTTGTCTTTTTTGTTTTAGATCTGACTGGTTATTTACCAAATTTATTTTAAAGTATCGACAAAAATAAAGTTTCAAAAACATACTTAACAATTATTTAACAATTATTTACAAAAACATACTTAACACTACAAAACTGATAAATCCGATGATAAAAATTTAAAATCATTAATAATTAGATTAAAATCAAAATGAAAATTAACATTTTCAAATTAACGTTAAATTATATTTACACGAATAATTAAAACATCCTTGCTGAGGGGACGTTTAACATCTCCAGTCAACATATCAGCTCACTGTTGTCCTCTACTCAGCTGTCCCCTACCCCTCCTGTATCAGCACTGTTGTCCTCTACTCAGCTGTCCCCTACCTCTCCTATATCAGCACTGTTGTCCTCTACTCAGCTGTCCCCTACCTCTCCTGTATCAGCACTGTTGTCCTCTACTCAGCTGTCCCCTACCTCTCCTGTATCAGCACTGTTGTCCTCTACTCAGCTGTCCCCTACCCCTCTGTTGTCCTCTACTCAGCTGTCCCCTACCCCTCTGTTGTCCTCTACTCAGCTGTCCCCTACCCCTCTGTTGTCCTCTACTCAGCTGTCCCCTACCCCTTCTGTATCAGCTCTGTTGTCCTCTACTCAGCTGTCCCCTACCCCTCCTGTATCAGCACTGTTGTCCTCTACTCAGCTGTCCCCTACCCCTCCTGTATCAGCACTGTTGTCCTCTACTCAGTTGTCCCCTACCCCTCCTGTATCAGCACTGTTGTCCTCTACTCAGCTGTCCCCTACCTCTCCTGTATCAGCACTGTTGTCCTCTACTCAGCTGTCCCCTACCTCTCCTGTATCAGCACTGTTGTCCTCTACTCAGCTGTCCCCTACCTCTCCTGTATCAGCACTGTTGTCCTCTACTCAGCTGTCCCCTACCCCTCTGTTGTCCTCTACTCAGCTGTCCCCTACCCCTCTGTTGTCCTCTACTCAGCTGTCCCCTACCCCTCTGTTGTCCTCTACTCAGCTGTCCCCTACCCCTTCTGTATCAGCTCTGTTGTCCTCTACTCAGCTGTCCCCTACCCCTCCTGTATCAGCACTGTTGTCCTCTACTCAGCTGTCCCCTACCCCTCCTGTATCAGCACTGTTGTCCTCTACTCAGCTGTCCCCTACCCCTCTGTTGTCCTCTACTCAGCTGTCCCCTACCTCTCCTGTATCAGCTCTGTTGTCCTCTACTCAGCTGTCCCCTACCCCTCCTGTATCAGCACTGTTGTCCTCTACTCAGCTGTCCCCTACCCTTTCTGTTGTCCTCTACTCAGCTGTCCCCTACCCCTCCTGTATCAGCACTGTTGTCCTCTACTCAGCTGCCCCCTACCCCTCCTGTATCAGCACTGTTGTCCTCTACTCAGCTGTCCCCTACCCCTCCTGTATCAGCACTGTTGTCCTCTACTCAGCTGTCCCCTACCCCTCTGTTGTCCTCTACTCAGCTGTCCCCTACCCCTCCTGTATCAGCACTGTTGTCCTCTACTCAGCTGTCCCCTACCCCTCTGTTGTCCTCTACTCAGCTGTCCCCTACCCCTCCTGTATCAGAGGTCTGGTCACCTCTCTGCTGTACAGATCAGAGTAACACCCATTTCCAAATCTCATCCTTATCAGGCCAGCAATGTTAACTCCGATTATTATCAGACTTATACCTGAGATATTGTTATACATGAGAGTGGTTACTAGTGGTTACTAGTGGTTACTAGTGGTTACTAGTGGTTACTAGTGGTTACTACCTGAGGGCTGAGATATTATTGTTATACATGAGATGAGAATTTATAATCTCTATTCATTGTGAAACAGCAGCATATAATGTTCTCTGTACTTATTACAGCTAACTAATAGATGTGGATACTGGTGGGGAGGTGAAACACATTTGTTTACTTTAATAGTAAGCACATGTTCAGCGGGTTGAGGAGGTGAAACACATTTGTTTACATTTTTAGGGTAAGCACATGTTCAGCGGGTTGAAGAGATGATACACATTTTGTATTATAGAAGGCTTGTAACACTTGTAACGCTTTCTTGTTACCCCCCTTTGAAGGCCCCGGATTATTTTCTGAACGAAAGCTCAAAAATAACCGAGAAATCGACCTTCTTATTAACTCATTTTGATGACTGTTTCTGACCTAAAATTGCACGAAAAATCGATTTAGCTAGGTTTCAGAACCTATAAACACTTCCTTATCCCTCAAAATTGATGTTTTAAAGTTGATACGAGCAACAAGCAACATATGTTTTGATCCTTCGGTTCTACTCATGACCTAGGCAGTTAAGCTGAACCCGACAGATCGAGGCAATCCTCACCTTAACTGATCAAACTGGTACTAACACAATTTTCAGATATAAATGTTCTTTGCGATACGTTTATTGCAGCTTTGCAACTTGAGGGAAGACCAGAGTACGAAAACACACAGCAGGTAAGCAACTCACTTTTGGTGACTGTTCCTCACGAACATTCTGATCCTGCAACAATTTAGTATACGGTAGCTTAGAAGTGAAACCCACTTATTGTAGTACCAACTATGGTCATACGAGACTAAGGAATAATATACATAAATAAGTTACATAATAAATTACCATATATAACAAACATATGAACAGGGAGATCGTCTCCTTAACAAATCGAACAGGTACTATCACAATTTCCAGAGCAGGTACTATCACAATTTCCAGAGCGTAATTTTCACAATTTCCAGAGCATAACAAAGTCAAAAGAAACACAACGAAGGTAGGTTACCAACACCACAATATAACAATTATACTAACAACTGAATTAAATTTATTCTGACGACGGGCAGCCCTGATGTGCTCCGTCATCCTCAACGAGCGACTTGTAATAGAGGTGTTCTGTCATGTGACACCGATCCGTCCAATCACAAACAGGACGAGTCAGCAGATCTATATCGTGTGTTTACTTTCCTTATCTTTATTTGACCCTCTGTTCACATTGTTATCTCTACCACATCTCGGCTCGGCAAGGTCCACGTGCAATATCTGCACCGCGGTAATCACGCCATGATTACGTCATGAACTTGAAATGGTGTGATTGTTGTACTTATATAACCGTGCCCATTGCCCACGTACAATACAAACTGTTGGGGGGGGGGGGGGGGGGGGGGGGGGGGGGTAGACTAAGATAAACAACCGATCTTGATAGTGTGTTGGTCGCTCCTCCAACTGACTGTGATGCTAACTGTTCAATCAGGAACGGAACAATAACATTGTTTAGTTATAGCATGTTTCGGTTTAGTTGTCCAATTGCGTATTATTAAAAACATTTACTCTAATATGAGGTCGCGATTGTGAACTGAGTGAGATCCAAATGATGAACTGTGCTTTAAGTTTACACCAACTGGAAGCAAAGGAATAATGCATATATCCATGAGTGCTGCTTTGCTTAACTTTGACAGTAAGTGTTTAAAAACAGAATCTAGGACACCCCAACACTAGGATTGTGATTGACTGTACCGAGGTATGATTTGAGTCCATTACCAGAACCGAATGAGCAGCTACAACTTTAGAGCTCAGACAAAATTATGAAAGTCACAGCAGATAAGTTGACGCAATATTTCGCTTTGAACGTGACCAGTGAATTGGTGTTCTCTACATCAGTACAATTACGGCGGGGTGCGAATTGTGATGTTCAAAATTTCATTTTGTTATTGCAGCTGTAGCAATTGAAAATTCCTACAATCCACAGGTCCCAATTGAAGCTCCGTCCAACATTGAGTCGGGCGCCAGATGTTACAGCCATTATAAGTGTAAGTTCAGTCGATCATACCTTTCAATAATGCTGAACCTGCAACGTAAATTACAGATCTTCTGCTTTCGTACCTCATACAATTTCCCCTGCATAATCGTTCTGTTCCATCTCCAGCTACGCACACAGCCAAGTTACTGATCGGAATTGCGCCCAGTGGGGTAATCACGTATGTCAGCCGCTGCTACCCTGGTGGCACAACCGATAAGGAAATTGTAGTGGATAGTGCCATACTGCAGAAGCTGACTGTTGGTGACAACGTGATGGCTGACAAGGGGTTCCTCATTCACGACATTTTGTCCGAAGGTAAGTTCCAACCGTGCTACACTCGAAATATGAGATTTTTCTGAACGGGCCCCTATAACACTAACAGTTGAAACCAACTTAAATCGTAGTATTTATATTTTTGTATGCTGATTGCGAATCACCCAAATGATGCTCCTCTGGCGAGATAACGTGCTATGACCTATGGTTTCTAATTTCTCGTTAAGGTTTCAGCATATTACGTGTTGAAACGTCACGTAACAGTTGAGTGTAGAGTGATGAATCAACGTCCGGTTAGTTAAGAATAAGCGGCATTAAAAAGCGAATTAAATTTCAGGAGTTACCCTAAACATCCCAGCGGGGATGTGGGGCAAGACTCAGTTCACGCCGGAAGAAGTAGCAGCCAGCAGCAAAGTCAGCATCGCCCGCATCCACGTGGAACGCTCAATTGGCTATCTGAAGCGGTACAAGATTTTGGGAAACAAAGTTGTGGCGAAGATGTTGCCTTATCTGAGCGACATCGCATTCGTGTGTGCCCAACTTGTTAATTTGAACCCTGTTTTTTTGAGGGAAGTGGACAGTGATTTTTTTTTAAATGACCAGGTCTGCTTAAATAACTAAAAAATTAGGTTAATATTCTGTTCATGACTGGACGATAAGTTCCTACAATCCCCCCCCCCCCCCCCCCAACAGTTTGTATTGTACGTGGGCAATGGGCACGGTTATATAAGTACAACAATCACACCATTTCAAGTTCATGACGTAATCATGGCGTGATTACCGCGGTGCAGATATTGCACGTGGACCTTGCCGAGCCGAGATGTGGTAGAGATAACAATGTGAACAGAGGGTCAAATAAAGATAAGGAAAGTAAACACACGATATCGATCTGCTGACTCGTCCTGTTTGTGATTGGACGGATCGGTGTCACATGACAGAACACCTCTATTACAAGTGGTCGCTCGTTGAGGATGACGGAGCACATCAGGGCTGCCCGTCGTCAGAATAAATTTAATTCAGTTGTTAGTATAATTGTTATATTGTGGTGTTGGTAACCTACCTTCGTTGTGTTTCTTTTGACTTTGTTATGCTCTGGAAATTGTGAAAATTACGCTCTGGAAATTGTGATAGTACCTGCTCTGGAAATTGTGATAGTACCTGTTCGATTTGTTAAGGAGACGATCTCCCTGTTCATATGTTTGTTATATATGGTAATTTATTATGTAACTTATTTATGTATATTATTCCTTAGTCTCGTATGACCATAGTTGGTACTACAATAAGTGGGTTTCACTTCTAAGCTACCGTATACTAAATTGTTGCAGGATCAGAATGTTCGTGAGGAACAGTCACCAAAAGTGAGTTGCTTACCTGCTGTGTGTTTTCGTACTCTGGTCTTCCCTCAAGTTGCAAAGCTGCAATAAACGTATCGCAAAGAACATTTATATCTGAAAATTGTGTTAGTACCAGTTTGATCAGTTAAGGTGAGGATTGCCTCGATCTGTCGGGTTCAGCTTAACTGCCTAGGTCATGAGTAGAACCGAAGGATCAAAACATATGTTGCTTGTTGCTCGTATCAACTATAAAACATCAATTTTAAGGAAGGGATAAGGAAGTGTTTATAGGTTCTGAAACCTAGCTCAATCGATTTTTCGTGCAATTTTTGGTCAGAAACAGTCATCAAAATGAGTTAATAAGAATAGTCGATTTCTCGGTTATTTTTGAGCTTTCGTTCAGAAAATGATTCGGGGCCTTCAAAGGGGGGTAACAAGAAAGCGTTACAAGTGTTACAAGCCTTCTATAATACAAAGTGTGTATCATCTCTTCAACCCGCTGAACATGTGCTTACCCTAAAAATGTAAACAAATGTGTTTCACCTCCTCAACCCGCTGAACATGTGCTTACTATTAAAGTAAACAAATGTGTTTCACCTCCCCACCAGTATCCACATCTATTATCTAACTTACCACTAGCCAATATGGGGAGGGTTGTTTGGGTGATGAGTAGTGTGGATATCTTCTTGTAGCACCTGAAATAGAACACGTGATGAGTAGTGTGGATATCTTCTTGTAGCACCTGAAATAGAACACGTGATGAGTAGTGTGGATATCTTCTTGTAGCACCTGAAATAGAACACGTGATAGAGTAGTGTGGATATCTTCTTGTAGCACCTGAAATAGAACACGTGATGAGTAGTGTGGATATCTTCTTGTAGCACCTGAAATAGAACACGTGATGTCCATATAAGGTAATATATAAATCAAACATTAAATAAAAATCTCTTGAGCGGCCGATCGATTTCCCGATCCACAATTAGTTAACTTATTAATTAATTAACTAATTGGATTATTAGTAATTACCCCATCTCGTGAGCCCGCTCCTTGTCACACCCTTTGTTATCACAGCAGCTAGGCGGGATGTTCATTGTACCGTAATCATCAACAGAGCTTATCCCACAACACGACAGTGATATCTGAAATAATAACATTTACAAATGATGTGTGATGACGTCACAGCACGTGTGATGACGTCACAGCACGTGTGATGACGTCACAGCACTGTTCATTGTACCGTAATCATCAACAGAGCTTATCCCACAACACGACAGTGATATCTGAAATAGTTCTACCTCACTGTTCATGTTGGTTGATTTAATTTAGTTGTAAAAGGTTGTTTATTAGAGATTCTCAGCTAAGTGCTTTTAACTTACAGTTCTAAAATTATTCAATAACATTTACAAATGAATCTGACGTAACAGCCCTTGTTATAACGTAACAATTTGTGTGATGAAGTCACAGCACGTGTGATGACGTCACAGTATGTGTGATGACGTCACAGTATGTGTGATGACGTCACAGCATGTGTGATGACGTCACAGCATGTGTGATGACGTCACAGTACGTGTTATGACGTCACAGCGTGTGTTATGACGTCACAGCACGTGTTATGACGTCACAGCGTGTGTGATGACGTCACAGCATGTGTGATGACGTCACAGCATGTGTGATGACGTCACAGCACGTGTGATGACGTCACAGCACGTGTGATGACGTCACAGCACGTGTGATGACGTCACAGCACGTGTAATGATGTCACAGCACGTGACATTACCTGAATATCGTCCACATAGCGTTGGTTTACAGAGTCAGTGTGATAGTTCCAATAGTTGGGAACATACTCTCTCAGTCTACTCTTCTCCTGGTCACTAACTTTAGCGGACACTACTACTGTCAGCACGAAGTGGAGGAGAATCAGGAACCCTGGTGATTAGTGTTTCCATAGTTACTACTCTACTACAGCATATTATTAAGCATATCATAGTTACTTTAAAATAACATAGTAACTAAATGAATGAAGAGATTTATCTAGGATACTATTCAAAAAGTAATAATAGAGAAGAAAGAATACCGATGAAGATAAAAGGGAAGATTCTCTTAGGTCTGCAGTGACCTAACTGAGTAGTAGGTCTGTTGTTAAAGACCACCAATATAGCGAACATAACGCAAATAACTGAAATTAAAAAATATTAAATCTAACAGAATATTCGGAAGGACCACACTTTCTCGCCGTATCTTTAATATAACAAGCAGGAACCCGTCTTTAATATAATATGGTTTATATGTACCACCAAACTCACTTTACTCTTTGAAAGCTAAAATACAGACTTTTTACTAAAAGCTAACAATGCAATTTCAACAAGATGTACTATTTAGTATTAACTAAAATTACTATAAGTATAGGACTACTTACTTATGAGAAGTCCTGCTACAGAGACATGAAGAAGATCTATCTTAGAATCAATGCTCTGCTCGATAGCTTTCTTCATAAAGAGCAGATAAGGAACATCAAAAGTAAGGTACAAGGCAACAACCGCTGCTGCCAACAGGACTCCACTAACGCTCCACCGCTCTTCTGAACTCATCCTATCAGAAGAGATACGTTAATTATTAACCACTACCAACATACAAAGGTTAATATTGTTATTGATAAGTTGTTGTCATCTTCAAATTCTGAGTCACTGTTTTCAGTAAAAGCACTGTCACAGCGCAACTTAAGATAATTATCAGATTGTGGAACAAAAGATACTTCTAACTTTCTAATATATCTACACCGTTTACCGTACACTATAATGTGTATAAAAGGTATTTTATATTATAAAAACTTCTTCTTTGTGTTAAAACCAATATAGTTTGCATGTTTCTAAAACACTTTCTAATCTGTATATAACTGTATAATTTACTAGATCAGTTAGTCAAAAATTCAAAATACAACATCTTATCATCTATTATTTAACAAGAATGCTTCAATAATCGTATTTTTAAAGAAGAATAAAATTGTAATAAATGGCATTAAATTTAAATTTTTGTTTGGTTGTTTTGAGACCTTTCATCAATTAGCCAATAGAAGAACAGGAATACAAGTGAATATTTTTATAGCATAATTCGGCTATAAAAGCTATGAGTGGCAGCCATGGGTAGAAAAACCCTTTACTTGGTAACTTTGTTGACTGCACAAGAGCAAGTAAAACTGCATATTACATCCACATTTTGTGAACAAACTGATATGATGAAGCCTATCTGCACAAAATGTTATGTTGTTTGCACACTAAACTCTTCTCAAGACATGGTGGCAGCTTTTCTTCGTAGTTTTTCTAACAACTTTGCAATTGTCCTCATGAACTCATCTGCAGTAACATTGTCTGATTTACTTTGATTTGATTTGTCTGCGTCTTTCTTATCATCTTGCACTCTTAGAATACGCAAACAGTGCCTCTTCCTAAATCGCCAAACCCACCCGTGAGAAGCTTTGAAAGGTGTGTCGTCCCCGTAAAGTTCTTTCGACAACTCAGTAGCTTTTATCCGGAGGATTCGCTGGTTTGTCTGCAAAACAGGTTATATTCAAGCAAAGTGACCAAGTTACAAATACACATAACAGGATAAACAACATTGCAACCTGTATCTAGTATGTAGTATGTAGTATGTGGACACGTTCATTTGAGTTTGAGGATATTGGTAAACAAAAATAATAGCGTTTTTGACGATAGTGGCTTAATTTTGACATCTATTAACCTAGCACGTTCAGAAGTTCTGAACATTAGCCACGTAACCCATACTCCCATATGCACCGCTCAGAAAGAAAATCTATTGTTGTTAGGCACTATAATGTTTCAAATGTCACATTTTGTGTGACTTAGTTAACTGCAGTTGTCTAATTATCATTCCTTGGTCTGAAATATAGTAAATTAGGTCTATCTAACAATTATGATACAACATTGGTTAATGGGCACGGATCGAACGGTTACAAGGCAATATTTGGGTAACTTTGTCACACTCATGATACCATACCTCTATTCTGCTGTGAGGTGTCCTAAAAACCCTTTCAACTCATTATTTTATGGTTGCTCTACCAAGCATAGCCCTAAAATATGTTGTTTTGAATAGTTAGCTAATACAGGCACTTGGTTATTGGGAAATGAGGTTAATTCTGTCACAATATATGAAATGTAAACTTTTGGGCGAATAATTTATATCTGATTTTGGTTTGAAAGGCGGGAAAATTTTATATGATGACAATGTAGTTGATGCAAGTTAAGATCAGTTGATGTTTACATTGTCACAAAAATTATACGAAATCGTAAATAGATTAAAAACAATGATTATAGAATGAAATAGTCTCTCTTGGGGGGGGGGGGGGGGGGCCTAGTTCTTCTTGGTTAGAACTAGCCCGTTTCAAGGTGCCAGTAATATGGCCCAGGGATCGGTCTACCGAGCCAAGACCGTCCGTGCGTGGTGAAGAGCCACACCCTGCCCGAGGTGACCCTGCTAGACCGGAATGTCATTAAAGACCCGACTTCCTGCGTCAACTGAACACGGCGGATCTAGAGGAGCGGTGTTGGTTTCCTCCTTTCCCCTCGCATCCAGAAGTCACTCCTTTCAGTGGAGAAAGTGAGCAGCAGGATCATTGTCATCCATGTTAATGGTAATCCACGACTATCAGTGGTATCATGCTACGCACCCACCAACTGCAGCGACATGGACGACAAGTCTTCTTTCTACAGTTCCCTCTCCAGGACCATCGCTAAAGTCCCACCTCACAACATGCTAGCTGTTAGCGGAGACTTCAACGCAAAGCTCAGCAGGGGTACTGGGTTCTCGTGTCATGACACCACCAATGACAACGGTGAACGTCTCTTGGACCTTATGGACGAGCATCAGCTATTTGCTGCCAACTCCCGTTTCCAGAAGCCAATCAGTAAGCTTTGGACCTACGAAGACCCCAAAAGGTCAAAGCATCAAATTGACTTCATTCTCTGGCGGAAGAAATGGACCAATAGTGTGAAGAACTGTCAGGCCTTCAACACCATGCAGACGGTCGGTTCCGATCACCGTATAGTCACCTGCTTTGTCCAAGCCAGTTACAGAGCAAACAGGACCCCGGCCAAAGACCCCCTTCGGAGTGTCGACTGGACCCCTCTTGTCCACGATCCCTGCTTAAAACATCAGTATGCAGTGGAAGTGAAGAACAGGTACAGCGCTCTCCTGCAAGAAGCAGAGCTCCAGTCTGACTATGACCTGATGGTTGATAGTGTCAAGACTACAGCTCTTCGAATACTTCCGAAGAAAAAGAAGAAGAAAAAGGGAAACCCATATAACGACCCTAATATTGCACACCATCGCAATATTCTCAAGACTGCATCTCTGGGTCATAGGACTTCTCCCTCCTTCTCATCTAAAGAAAAGCTCGAAGACGCCAAGAAGCAGCTGGACGAAGCATACAACACCGCTACTGCACAGTATGTCCAACAACAGACTGCATGTCTGGAGCAGACTAACCCTGAGCACAGGCATCGGAGCTCTTGGCGCATCATCAGAGAGCTAACGTCTCCTAACACCGTGCCCTATAGTAAAGTGCCTGGGGGCACCACCGAACAGCGGCTCAACGTTTGGTTTGAGCACTTCAAGTCGCTCCTCGGGACAGAGCAGCCACCCCCTGACCTCTCCTTGCCCTTCTACAACCAGAGAGTCTCGGACACCCTTCCCATTAGCTGTCTTCCTTTCTCCATGTCCGAACTCGATTCAGTCCTCAAGTCCATCAAGTCCTCCAAGTCACCAGGCCTAGATAGCATCCCTCCCTCAGTTTGGAAGCTTCCCCAACTTCGTGACGACCTCCTCAGTTTCTGCAACAGGGCCTTAATTGATGGAGTAATCCCTGAAGCCTGGACAACGGCATCTATTATACCCATCCCCAAGAAAGGCGACCTGACCAACCCCGGGAACTATCGAGGTATCTCATTGGCTCCGGTTGCAGCGAAAGTTTTCAACAAACTCATCCTCAACCGGATTTACCCATACCTGGATCCCCTACTGCGGCCAAACCAAAATGGCTTCCGCAGAGGAAGATCTACCCTCCCTCAGATACTTGCCCTACGACGCATCCTAGAAGAGTGTAAAATCGGAAATCGATCAGCAGCTATCGTGTTCGTCGACTTTTCGAAAGCATTCGACAGTATCAACAGGGATGCCTTGTTTCACATCCTCTCCCTCTACGGCGTCCCTGCTCCCATAACTGATGCTATCAGGCTCCTGTATGACTCATCGCACTCCAGAGTCAAAACCATTGACGGCCTAACAGACTTCTTTAGAACACTCATCGGGGTCCTTCAGGGTGATACACTCGCTCCTTTCCTCTTCATCATCGTCCTCGATTATGTTCTTAGGAACTGCATGACTCTTGACCATGGCCTAACCATCATCCCCAGGCAAAGTCGGAGAGTACCTGCGGTCAGAGTCACAGATCTTGACTTCGCTGACGACCTGGCCTTGACTGCCGATACCATAGAGCAAGTCCAGCAACTGCTCTCGGATTTAGAGACTGCAGCAGCACATGTCGGACTTGCGATGAATGCTTCCAAGACCGAATACATGACCATCAACATTCCTGCTGCCCCCGTGAACTCAATATCCGGTTACCAGATCAAGCAGGTTGATGACTTCAAATACTTGGGCTCATATATTGCAGAGAGCAGGAAGGACTTCAACACCAGGAAAGGCATGGCTTGGTCAGCCTGTATCAAACTGCAGAAGGTATGGACCTCTGGCATTTCTGACCAGCTGAAAGTCAAGTTCTTCAGAGCATGCATCGAACCTGTTCTGCTGTATGGCTCAGAAACCTGGACCTTGAACAAGCAGTTTGAGGAGCGTCTCGACGGGTGCTACACCAGGCTCCTAATGAAAGCCAGGAATCTTTCATGGAAGAAGCATCCAACCCTAAAGCAAATCTATGGTGACCTCCCTTCCATCTCCACCATCGTTGCACAGAGACGTGCCAGATTTGCTGGGCATTGCATGAGAGCTTCAGACCAGGTCATCTCTACCATCCTTCCTTGGCGGCTGCCACAGTTCAGGCGTGGGAGGAGACCACTCTCTTTTCTTGACACCGTAGCCAGGGACACAGGGTTGCGGGTAGAAGATCTCCGAACAGTTATGTGCGACAGAACCATCTGGAGACGTAGAGTGGAGGAGATTTCGATCGAGCATCGCCCAAAGTAAAAGTAAGTAAGTCTCTTATAATAACTCTTATAATAACTGATGTGACAAAGTTAACATGTCTTGCCCCTATTTTGAAGATCTATATTCTATACCTCTATTAGAATATTGTCCAGAACATCAGAGCTTAAGTTTAACAATTTAAGGTTAAATTTGTCAAAGTCACTAAAAATGTGACAAAATTAACTTTTCACGCCCCAACAATTTCAAGATAGTGTGTAAAAATTAGCATAAGCTGCTTTATTACCTATATAAATCAATCCAAACTACAAAAAATATATGTTAATGTGATGACGATTACCTAACTCTAATAATAACTGATGTGACAAAGTAAACATGTCTTGCCCCTATTTTGAAGATCTATAACTCTATTAGAATTCAACATTCTTTCAGAAACGATTGGAAGAATATTGTCCAGAACATAAGAACTCAATTTTTAAAATTTAGATTAATTTGTCAAAGACATTGAAAATGTGACAAAATTAACTTTCCCTGCCCCAACAGTATCAAGATAGTGTGTTAAAATTGGCATAGGATTTATTACAGGTATATTAAAGTATTAATCGATCCAAACTACGAAAATTATCTTTTAATCTGATGACGATTACCTAACTCTTATAATAACTGATGTGACAAAGTAAACATGTCTTGCCCCTATTTTGAAAAACTATACTTCTATTAGAATACTATGTAACTTTATCATCAAAAAAATTTCGATAAACTAGTTATTTTGCCAGCAAGGAGCTAACAGAGTTATAATAATTTTTTGTGACGAAATTACCCTATTTTTGACCATGTAGCGGTAGTTTAATTGTGACACTGTTAACATATTACCACCTGATAATGATTTATGTGACTGGTGCATGGTACTAGCAGTGTTGTTTGATCCATAGTACGTATAATATAAGGGGTTTAAGCTGGTATATCATTATTTGTTCAATTTCACACATGTTCAGATACTATCAAGATTATGTGACAAAGTAAGCTTGGTTGTGCCTTCTGTGTTTTAATTCCTTACGACTATATGATATAATAACAATTCCCAGCACTTCCAGGCCATCAAATAAATTTACACTACTCAGCATTGCTTATCAGGGTGCCCTAAACATTCATCACATATTTTCTTTAATGTGTGAAAGAGTAAACCTGAGTGCACCATCTAACGAAAAAAGTCGTCAAATATGTAGGTAATGGTCATATGTACCCATCCAATCAACTGGACACTCAAACATTTGGTCAAAAACGGCAGCAAGGGGTCCATATTTATTCCGTCACATGTTTATAGTGTGACAATGTAACCATTTCCGTGCCGGCCGTATTTAAGCGATATCTTATCACCTGATTAAGATATCGTTATGTGACAAAGTTAGCCGAGAGGATGAGACGATTATCCTAACCATCAAGGGTTTAAGTAATTTCATAGTGTGACAAAGTCAACTACACTGTGCCTTTTAATAGGGTCACTTATATTTACCAATATCCTCAAACTCAAATGAACGTGTCCATGTATACACTGTACATAGATTCAGATTAAATGGCTTACCTCACAGCCAGCTGCTTTTTGTGTACACCCACTTGTACAGAACACTGTCTAACTTTTCATATTTCGATAGCCGAGCTTTTTTTATAGTAGTGTCTGATAAATTGGACGACAGGTGAGTATGGTATGACAGGATCTTTTCTTCCATTTTCCTGATAGTCCTTATTGTGGACTCATTGATCCCTGAAATAGAATTATAATGTAATATTTAGCACAATTTATTAAATTTATAGAACAAGCAAGTTTTTAATAGCAAAGAACTACATTTAACTGAACACAAATGTTGGATTTAATTGACATACCATACTCACGAGCTACTGTTGCAACTCTCAATTTAGGATCACTCTTGAACTTTAACAGTATTGTTCTTTTCTCATCGTAAGATAGAGCTTTCCTCTTTTTCGTGGGTGGCATGGCTGGCAAAATGCATTTTGACATATCATATTTGATACAAGGGAAACGCAATTTTCTGACGTGAGGAGAGTTAGGACTCTTCCAACCACATGAAATTAATTCCTTCTGTAACGTCCTCAATAAATGTAATAGATTTGTAGTATACATAATACTAACAGGACGACTTCTATAAAAGTTTGTTTCTCTAAAGAAGGAACTGATTACTACATAAAAATAAAACTTTTTGTGTTATCCTGCTTAAACATGGAGGTACACGGTAGTCGGTACATGGTTACATCATATTATATCATACTCAAGTCTTTGTTCAGCTATAAGGTTAGACACCCTCACATCATATAAACCAATTTGAAAATGAAATAAAACAGTTAACAGATTTTAAATATAACTTTGTAGTACGGGTATATGACCCCCAGAATATAGGTGGCCCCCAAAATATAGGTCATGTTAGTGGATACAGTTCTAACCAAGATAAGCGATACTAATGGGATCTGTTACTGCTAGGTTGGAGTAAAACATGTAACTAATGTTTCTGGGTAAAAATTTTGGACCTACATGTGGTATTTTGGTATATTTGGTCATGACAGCGAAAGATTTAAACGATGTTGTCATTTTCTAGAGGGGTAAATATGGCGAAAAATTGTCATGACAAAAATCTGTCCAACACATGCCAGTAAGACTACTGGTATGAGTATAAGTATTATTTTAAGCTATCTTTTCATCGAGACATCTGCAAACTGACAATTTGGAAAAAAGTTATGGCCACCACAATTTTACGACCCCCAGAATATAGGTTGGTCAAAAACCCTGAACATGCCCAAAACCATGCTTTGGGATGCTCTACTTGTAGCTACTAGTCTCCTGAACCCACATATCAAGTTTTATCAAAATTGGATAAAAATTGGCCGAGTTATGGGATAAAAACAAAAACCATATGCCCATATTTGGGCATACGCACCAAATTTGATCGATTTTGGTCCATAAATTGGTCAAATATCAACATTTTTGAATGAAACCAACTTTCCCATATCCACATAATTAAAAATTTCCTCCCAAACCCATTTTCAGACCCTTCTGTGGCCCGCTCGCTTTGCTCGCTGTGGCTCGCTTTGCTCGCTGTGGCCCGCTCGCTTCGCTTGCAGCGGCTAAGTTACTTTTCCAACAGGGGCATGCGCAGGATTTTTAGAAGGGGTGGGCTCCGAGGCTACTGCGGCAGGGGCTCGGGGGCGCAGCCCCCGGAAAATTTTAACTGGATTATATGCTAAACCAATAGGATATCAATACAGAAGGTTCAAAACAGTTGATTAGACACTTGGTTATTAGTAATATTTTAAGGGGGCTCGGGGGCGCAGCCCCCGGAAAATTTTAACTGGATTATATGCTAAACCAATAGGATATCAATACAGAAGGTTCAAAACAGTTGATTAGACACTTGGTTATTAGTAATATTTTAAGAGGGCAGGGGGCGCAGCATCCGGAAAATTTTTAACTGGATTATATGATAGACCAATAGGATATCAATAGAGAAGGTTCAAAGTAGTTGATTAGACACTCAGTAATATTTTGGATTCAAAACATTGGACAAATTAAAGTTAAAGATGGCACGAATTTTAAGTCATTTAGAGAGGAAAAATTTCCTCTCGATACCCAATGATTGAACTGCTCTTTGCGGACTGCAATTGTCAGTCGCTAACCAAGAAATTTCCTCTCAGATGCCAAAAATTTCCTCATTCTTCCCAAATTTCCTCCCAGATATCTGGTGGGTTTGCCAACTTTGTGGATATGGGCCAACTTTATATGGAAGGTAAGCATATATTACACATTTTCTATGATTATCAGCTCAATATCTACCTAACTGTGGATTCTGTGTTCAAATAATCGCAAAAAATGAACAAAATCGCCCATATCTCAAATTGACTTCGCTCAAAACAATAGAACTCAATAGGGTTTCAATATTTTCACATGAAATTTTCAGAATCAACGTAGAATTGTCTCATGACCTTAAGTTTTGGGACAGAATTTTGAGGTAGGCCTTTAAAAATATTTGGCGGCCAAAAATGTCTGATTTACAGTCATTGAGGTGCACATTGTATTGATACAGATAAAAACAGCCCCCCTCAATCATATCTAGGGACACTCCTTCAATCTTATTTAAGTATTTAGTTAAGATCCCTACTAAATGAGTGCATGAAAGCTTTTTAACTAGTAAAATTAAAGATTTTACTCATTACGGGTATATGGCCCCCAGAATATAGGTTTTTTTTTTTAAATAGCGACCAAGATTCTGCATTTTCTCTGTCACCCTGAGCATTAAGGAATGTGGGGTAGTGATGAGATACAGTTAAAGAACATATGCTGAAGAGATGGCATCATCAAAATGTATGAAGGTGGAGTATTTGAGGACGATTTTTGCATACCTATATTCTGGGGGCCGTAGTTTTTGATTTTTTGCTATTAAGTATACTCTAAACCATTTCAATTTAGTATCTGGAGCCATTGGCATCATCAATACAGTATCAGCAACATATTCTGACTGCATATAACTGTCTGTGACAATTTTAGAACAACTTAGGAACAGATGTTTGGACCTATATTCTGGGGGCCCTGTTAAAAAATGGTATTTTTACAGGTGAAAAAAAAGTACACTTAAAAACCTAATAATTATTTTCAACTACCCAAGAAACATTTAAAGGGTTATTATGTACATATTTACAGCCTTAAACATGCTTAGAAGTAGTTTTAACACCTGTTTCTAAGTGCTAAAAAAACGACCTATATTCTGGGGGTCATATACCCGTATATGAACCCCATTGTAAACGTAAATCCCCAAATAGAAAAATACACTTTTCAATTAATAATAACAATAAATTGAAATTTAATAACACCGCTTTCAAGATAAAACTTATACTCAGCAATGTTTAAACTAGTCATCCCAGAAAATAACATGAATACTAAGTTATTAAACCTGAAAATGGGACAGGGATCATTGGGACAGTATGACTTTGCAATTTTATTCGGGATTTAATTTATTCATACTCCCCAGTGGAGTAAAGATTTATTAAAAAATCAGTAAAAACTGTAAAATTTCGATGCTTGAAATTTCGATTTCAAAACCTGAAAATGAGACAGAGATTTGGACAGTATAATTTTGCAATTTTTATTCGGGATTTCGATTAATTTTTCTTTGTGTTATATTATATATATTAGAGGAAACGTTATTTTTAAGAAGCGAACATTTTGCAAACATTTTTTGGAGATAGGCTGCAGCCATTTATGTTTTCAGGGTCTGTAGTAAGGTTTAAGTGCAGTGCTCATTGATTAATCTTTTTTCGCCTTAATCCCAATTACTTTTTTAATACATTATATTAAAGCATAAATTACCTGGGGACCTCAGCTAGGCTATTAAACGGACACGACCATTTGGTGAGCAAAGACTAGGTGTGGACTTTTACAAAAAAGAACACTCTAAGCCCTTGTTTAAGAATCAGAAATTGTTAACTGTTCACAACTTGTATAAGTACACTTGTCTCTTAGAACTATTCAAAATTAATAAGTTAGAGGAACCATTATCACTGTACTCATCATTTAACAGGTCACCACGACGAGAGGATTATTTCATCACATCACAACCATCCTCACAATTCATCTACCAATCATCCTACATGTGGAACAGCTGTCGACAAACATCAAGTAAGATAAGTTTTAATACTCCGACAAACGGGTTTAAGAATACATTGAAAATTGCTTTACAAGAATCGCAATTCAAGCATGATACACTTGATTGGTGTGAGCTTAATTTTGCCACAAATGAGCTCAAGTTTTGATTAATGTGAGTTACTAAAATAACCACTTATCTTTCCTCATACATGCAACCACTACTGCACTCCAACTAAACACATTATTTACCACAGTCCACACACCATACTCCACAGATGATATATATATATATATATACACACAAACACACTAGTACCGAACAATTGCACTGTAAAACATGCTCACGATACACTCAAAATTGGAAATATTCAACGGCTCGTGTATGAAACTTAGCGATTTACACTCAGTGTACACCCAGTGTTAACCAGTATTACACACTAGTAAATTCTACGTAACACGCGAAAACAATAATTCTGTACCGTTTTCATTGTCACATCCCACGTCGACGGGATTAAACGCGCGCGCGCGTAACAACTTAATGCTAACTCAGCGACTAAACACACAACGACTTTGACAATAGTTCAATAGTTCAAGGGGGCTATATTTATGAGTCGCATTTGAACTTGATTTCTCTTGGAGAATTTCTCTTTACACTCTTAACTTGCAAACAAATTGAAGCAGCAGACTTTAGGCTAGAAACTTTATTGAATAGAAATAATCATTCCACGTAACTACGTCTTCTTCAGTTCTGTAATAAAATTGTTAAACATGTGTAAAATTAACGAAGGAAAGAAATTTAAAATAACATTAAAACAAAAACAGAGAAATAAAATTTACGAAATATGACCCAAAAAATGTAATTAATTGCAAAAAATTCAAAACAACAAAAAATATACGACAAGAAGAAATGACTTTGACAATTGACAGACGATTAAACAATTGTGAGTTATGACGGACTTAACTGTATGGGTCAACTACTGAAACTGTATTGTTTACTATCTTATTCATTATACTGGACATGAGATGACGAAGTATCTTAAGCAGCACTTTATACCCCCACTTAGAACTTGATTAGTCACGAACAATAGAATCATAAAAAACCAATACAATGAAACATCTTGATCAATAAATGCCTAGCAGCACCAGACAGCAGCCGTGTACCTTTTTCGACTCCGTGGAGTCCCTGATGGACTTTTGTTTACTTTTGTTAATAATCGGACCAACCTTTCTTTCTCGAAACATGTATCCTATTGTATTTCATTATAGTATTAAGATGTGAAGATATACTAGATATTACAACGAGGTATACCAAATTGGCCCTTGATATTAACTATAACCGTGTTGATGGTTTTAAATTTTGTATGTTGTAAGTATCTTAGTTTGTGAAGCGTTTACTCCTCCCCCTCAGCAAGACAGTTAGATTTAATTGTAGATTAATGATAATAATTTAATTGTAGATTAATGATAATAATTGTCAAATGACGTTATATATTATATAACAGTTATAAATGTTCACTAGTTGTAGAGCGATTTCAAGAGTAGTGGTCCACAGGGGTCCGAAAAAGCCGTACAGGCACTTGGGTCCTTATCCTTGTCATTAATCTCAATTGGATTCGGTTTACACTAAACATGAACATTTAGACGTACACATTGACACGATATTTATTAGAAAGCAAAAAGTATAAAATAATACGTGCGTGCGCGGCTTGAGCCGCGCCGCATAAGAACGGATGCGTGCAGGGGCTGGAGTACGCTTGTATGTAGATTAATGAAATGTTGCATTGTAAATATTTAGAATTGACGATATATTATGATCTAATAGTAAATTTTTTGACATACGTTGCATGCCACTTTTCGCGCGCGAAGTGCGCGCCTCCGAAGGATTGGATACGAAACATGTATCAATAAATTTTACAAAGCTGGCTTTGGATTTAGGTAAGATTATAATTTATTTTTAAAAAAACCACGGATTGTTTTAAATTTATTTCTATTTGTCGTATAATCATAAACAATTTAATCCTGTTTTCAAGAATGCGCGGCTTTGGCGGGCAGTTATTGATTTATACATTAAATTGAATTTTGAATAGAAATGTGAATATATTAAAATTTAAAACTTTCAAAACGGAGGCTTATAAATATTATTATATTATGATTGTAAAATAAAGGATAAAATTTAAAATTTGTTCATGTTTCACTATTATGTTCATAAACATAAAAATTAAGCGGAATGACAGGCTGAGCGCGGCCCAGTGAAGCATAAACTTAATTGTAAACGAATACATAAAATTTAAAATTTTCCTAGTATCCTAATTTATCACTTTCTTCTCTCACCAATGTGAGGATTGCCGTGCATTGGGATTGGCGTGCCAGATAAACAATAAATTTATTTTTGTTTTTTCCTTATGATTTTAAAAAGTGTTCAATATCTTTTATTTTACGCGCACTTCGTTTTTGATTCTTTGATGACATGTTGATGTGAAAATTTTTTTAGTAAATGCAACAGATAGTATCACATTAAATATATTTGATAGTAGTAAGAACAAACATTACCCTAAAATGAAATTATAAATTTTGGTGCTCCGCGCATATTCTTGCGTATTTTTATTGTATTTTAAAATCGAGCGCTAATAACCAATTGTTCACCTTTTGCCAATATGTACACGCTGCTCCGTTGTCTAATGTGGTGATGTTTAACGATGTTTCCATGTCACAAGAATTTTCATTGTCTTGAATTATATTTAGTGAATTAGAACTAGTGAAACAAATTTTTTTTAAAAAGTGAAACAAATTTAAAATTTTATCCTTTATTTTACAATCAAAATATAATAATATTTATAAGCCTCCGTTTTGAAAGTTTTAAATTTTAATATATTCACATTTCTATTTAAAATTCAATTTAATGTATAAGTCAATAACTGGCCGCCAAAGCCGCGCATTCTTTGTTCTTGAAAACAGGATTAAATTGTTTATGATTATACGACAAATAGAAATAAATTTAAACTATCAGTGTTTTTTTTTAATGAATTGTAATCTTACCTAAATCCAAAGCCAGCTTTGTAAAATTTACTATTATATCATAATATATCATCAATTCTCAATATTTACAATGCAACATTTCATTAATCTACATACAAGCGTACTCCAGCCCCTGCACGCATCCGTTCTTATGCGGCACGGCTCAAGCCGCGCACGCACGTATTATTTTATACTTTTTGCTTTCTAATAAATATCGTGTCAATGTGTACGACAGAGACCTGGATGTCCGTATCCAGAAGGCTAATGGCGCCTTTCATCAGCTCTGGAACATTTGGAATAGCAGAACTATAAAGACTCCAACCAAGATCAGGATCTATAGGGCTGCTGTCCTCACCATCTTGTTGTATGGAGCTGAAGTCTGGAACACCACCAAAAAGCAGATGAAACGCTTCGAGGTTTTCCATCAAACCTCCTTGAGAAGGATCCTTAGGATTAAATGGTTCTTTCATGTGACCAACGACGAAGTTCTTAGGAGGGCTGGCATCAAGTCAGTTGAGACTTTCATCAGTGCTGCCAGGCTACGTTGGTATGGACATGTAGTTAGAATGCCAGACTCTAGACTACCGAGGTTTCTGTTAAACTGGAAGCCAAATTATGGAAAGAGGTCAAGGGGCAGACCCCGTAAGAACTGGAAGTCCTGCGTACTCGAAGATGCTGCTAAGTTTACAGGTGTTGAAAACATCGACAACGACACAACAGAAGCTTTGGCTACCAATCGAGTACAGTGGAGACATATGTTACGCCGCCAACGCGATGTGTGTGATGCAGGCCACTCCAACGACTAGGAGGAGACCTTACCATGTAACATGTATGTAACAATGTGTACGTCTAAATGTTCATGTTTAGTGTAAACCGAATCCAATTGAGATTAGTGACAAGGATAAGGACCCAAGTGCCTGTACTATATCTAGTCAACTAAAATCTTTGTTTTACTTGCTACAAGCGGCGGGATTTCTCAACATCACCTTCCCTAATCGTATTTACTTGCTATTATTGAATTGCTGTTTCATGACAGTAGTAAGATTACAAACTGTTAGTCAGAATCGTAAAATGTAAGTTGGTAGATTTTTTATCACACTGTCGAAACTACTGAATTGTCGACTGTTATCGGTTTTTATCATGTAATCTTCGACAAATGGACATCCACCTGAAATGGAGCTAGCTAAATCCTCAGTTTTAGTTTCTAAATAGCTGAATCGTGGAATTCTCTCCCTCTTGATGTCCGTAACGTCGATAATATTGTGTCTTTTAAGAGTCAGTTAAAGAACTATTTGTATGATCAGTTACAGCCTGGTTAGGCTATTGTTAGTGGTTACGTCTTCTTGTGTAATTTTTTCGAATGTCCATTTATTGTTTTATGGTTTTAACCAGGTGGTTTTCATCGGTGTGTCAATGAAATCAATCTTATTGGATGTACACTATTACCATTTTTCTTTGTCGTTCAATCTGATATTATCTCATTAACCTTATTTAGTATTTTTTGATTACATGAGATGTTTTGTTTTTAACTTTCTGCTCCGATGACCAGAGAAAGTTTTTTGAGGGGAGTTGCTCAGACCTGGGCACCGTATTGTGTATAATGTTTAGTTATATTGTATAAAATATGTTTGTCGCATAGTAGCGGGTAGTAAATACTGTGTTTCGTTTTGATTCGTTTCGTGTTGCTTCAATGGATAGAGGGCTAACTCCGAAGCTCCAAATTAATTTGTATCATGAAATATTTTCAAAATCATCGTTTCCGTCAGGATATGGAATATGGATGGACCAGTTCCCATTAAGTCAATTAATGCAATCCCAGGCCCATCCCATTCTTGACTAGGATGTATTTCCAATCCCTGTCGACCATTGACTACTACCATAGAGATTTAGTAATATCATCTATTATCTTAGCAGTAAATAACCACAATGGTCACGAAGGTTGAAGACAATGCCACACTGGACAACCTCATCAACAGTTCTCCTGAAAAGCTTATTGTTGTTGATTTCTTTGCAACTTGGTGTGGCCCATGTGTAAGAATTGCTCCTAAATTGGAGGAGATGTCAAAGAGTGAAGATTATAAGGATAGTGTCTTATTCCTCAAAGTAGATGTTGACGCAGCAAATGAAATATCCGAGAAGTTTAAAATCCAAGCAATGCCAACTTTCATCCTGTTTAAAGACGGCCAAAAAGTGGATGAAATGATGGGTGCGAATGAAGCTAAACTTAAAGCTTTTATTAACAAATATCTGGGCAACAACTGATATTCTGTAGTAAAACTATTTGTACATATTTATTGTTGAGTACTCAGCTGTGGGATTATAGTGTAAAGTATCAATGTTTGTATCTGGTTGTTCTTAGTATTTGTCGTATTTGATTGCATTCCCTGATAAACTCCCAGGAGATGTTTTTTCTGTTCTTTATGTTTCAATCTTGGGTATTGTACTACTATAACGTCAGCTTTCTTACCTCTTTTCATAGACGAATTTTTGTGGTTTTTAATGATTAATTTATCTTCGAAACAAACTTTTCTGTACATTTAATTTTTGGTGAAACTGATTATATTTATTTTAAGATAATGTATTAATCAACCTTAATTTGCAGACTTTTATTTAATTGAAACTTGGTAGGCTTTGGAGCTGACATATCCATATTACTGCATTGAAGTACAATTAGAATTACATGATGTTGAGTGAGTGGCGAGTGGCAATAATTGTAACTTAAAATTAGTCATGCTCATAAATAAACATTCACCCCAGTAGCTTATAATTAGCTAAAGAAAATGGGTAGAAAGAAGAAGAAGCCTCTGAAGCCGTGGTGCTGGTACTGTAACCGTGAGTTTGAAGACGAAAAGATTCTGGTGCAGCACCAGAAGGCGCGGCACTTCAAGTGTCACGTGTGTCACAAAAAGTTGTACACAGCCCCAGGTCTTGTTATCCATTGCATGCAGGTAAGATTGCGTGTCTGGCGAGACATTTTGTTGAGGAGAACTCTTGCGCGAGAGGTGTGGAAACTTTGTTGTATAATTTAGCCCACTGTTTGTAAGAATTTACTATCTATAAGTAGGAAAATGACACATTAAATAGGAGTTGAAAATGAAGCTTGACTAAAGTAGATTTAAGCTGCTATAACTTTAGTGTCGACAGTGTTGGTTCAGTGTTTACATCACAACTAGCTATATCTCTCTGTTTAACTTTAATCTGATTATGCAACAACGTACTCACTTATTACATGTATAAGATTTAACTGTATAAACTCATTGTGATCAGTATTTCAAACCACCAAGTCTCCCTGATTAGAACAGATTCACAGTCTACTATCTGCCTGTATATTAACTGATTAGAACAGATTCACAGTCTACTATCTGCCTGTATATTAACTGATTAGAACAGATTGCACAGTCTACTATCTGCCTGTATATTAACTGATTAGAACAGATTCACAGTCTACTATCTGCCTGTATATTAACTGATTAGAACAGATTCACAGTCTACTATCTGCCTGTATATTAACTGATTAGAACAGATTGCACAGTCTACTATCTGCCTGTATATTAACTGATTAGAACAGCACTTCACAGTCTACTATCTGCCTGTATATTAACTGATTAGAACAGATTGCACAGTCTACTATCTGCCTGTATATTACCAGGTTCACAAGGAAACAGTAAGCTCAGTACCTAACTCCCTCTCTCATCGTAACAACTGTGAGATTGAGATATACGGGACGGAAGGGATCCCTCCGGAGGACGTGTCAGTGCACGAGAAGGAGGTCCGGGATAGAGAAAGTGAGTTTCTGTGCAACGCAACTAAATACTGTGTTTTACACTGTTACTGTTACAGTTACTGTTACTATTACAGTTACTGTTACTATTACAGTTACTGTTACTGTTACTGTTACTGTTACTGTTACTGTTACTGTTGCTGTTACTGTTACAGTTACTGTTTCAGTTACAGTTACTGTTACTGTTACTGTTACAGTTACTGTTTCAGTTACTGTTACTGTTACAGTTACTGTTACTGTGCAGTTACTGTTACTGTGCAGTTACTGTTACTGTGCAGTTACTGTTACTGTGCAGTTACAGTTACTGTTACAGTTACTGTTACTGTTACTGTTACAGTTGTTGTTACAGTTACTGTTGCAGTTACTGTTACTGTTACTGTTACAGTTGTTGTTACAGTTACTGTTGCAGTTACTGTTACTGTTACTGTGATCAAAATTCAGACACTTCTTCATAATATCTTATTTTTCTTAATTTGAAACAGTTTTACTGTGCAGTGCAGTGGTAGAAGAGCTATGGATGTCTTTGCTTAGTAGTACCTCACCATTTAAGCTACTACTAATTAACCCGTTTACTCTGCCTGGCAGGGTTATTTACCTGAGGGAGGCATTAAACTCTCCCAGCCCAGCCACTTGTCAACCACTAACTTATAACTGTTTTCTTCAGAGGGTGAAGGGAAAGAAGGAGAGGGAGCAGAGGGAGGGGGACAGCAGCCAGCCATGCCCGGCATGATGCCTGGCATGATGTTCCCCGGCATGAACCCAGGTATGTGTGGTATGTGTGGTATGTGAGGTATGTGTGGTATGTGTGGTATGTGTCCACATTTCACATTTTATTAAATCAAAGTTTTTCAGGACGATTTCGTCTAAAAATGCTTTAGATACGAGTGCGATTGTTCAATAAAACACATATTTATATAATAATTGATCCAATTCATTTAAACCAAACAAGTTATATTGTGAGTACACACTACACAATGGCACAATAACGCCTGAATAGTTTAAAAGTTAAATTATTTGAAATCACCAATGTTATAAAGTAAAGCAGTCCTGAAGTACAGGGTTGAAGTTCGTTAAATGTTACATATATCATCTCCCAACTAATTTAACGTTTCAAATTACAATAATATTTATTAATAATTATTAGGGGAGGGGAGCAATTATTAATTGACAAGGTACATCAAACTAAAACATGAATCCTTTATCATCGCTGTAAATAAGGGCAGGAACCGAGAGTGTATACCATCGCTGTAAATGATCACTTTATTGAGTGTATACCATCGCTGTAAATGATCACTTTATTGAGTGTATACCATCGCTGTAAATTATCACTTTATTGAATGAATATCATCACTGTAAATCGCTGTAAGTATTAGAAAAATAAACCTCGGCAATCTGGTGTTAACAAGAGTTCAAAGGCAGAGTTTATCACCTGTATTCCACAGTTTGAAACACATACTCTATCAACACACCGTGCAGTTCCCAATCCGAACGCATTTGCACGTGCAACACTTATTCCTCTGTGCTCTCCTATTCAAGCGCTTTTCTCTCCAATCAGTCTCTTTCGGCACCCCCATTTCCTTCTTCATTTTCTCATAGCACTCCCCAAACTTAGTGACTATTATTGTCATGGGAACCGCCATGAAGACAGTAGAAGCGAAGATGATGATAGCTCCGAGTAGTTTACCGAGCAGAGTATTAGGAACCATGTCTCCGTAACCAAGTGTTGACATGGTAACCACACTCCACCAGCAGGAGGAGAGGATGGAGAGGAAGGCTGTGTTCTCCACTGAGTTCTCACAGAAGTACATGAGGGACCCTGAGAAAAACACACCCATTGCCCAGAAAATAAACAACATAGCCAACTCGTTCAAACACTCGTACAGTATCATGCCTATCACTAAGAGCCGCCGGGACCGCTTGATCACCTTAAGGACCCGAGCAACACGTGCAATACGGAACAGCTGGAATATCTTGAACTTGAGAGCGTCTATACCCACAGACTCCATCATACCGTCTATATAGAAGGGGATTATAGCTATCAGATCGAACCAGTTAGTGAGTTGCTTGAAGAAGTGTAGTTTACAAGGGGCCACTAGGAACCTAGCTAGCAGATCTATAGAGAAGAAACCTACACTCACAATGTTTATAACCTCACAAACAAGTTCTATCTGCTCATGGTCCTCGTACTCCCCAGCAGAGAATACATCCTGTCTTGTGTCCAGGATAAAGTGAGCCATGGAGAACAGAATGAGACACACGTCCGTTATCATCCACGCTTTAGCGCCTCTGGAGGAAGCGGGGTCGTTTAGAAAGTTGTTCAGTCTGTTTCCTAAACCATCTCTCCTACCAGAACTGTCAGTGTCTTCAGTTTCGTAGTCTTCCTCGGATGAGCTGGACTCGTTGTAGATCAGTCCAAAGAACATGTACTCCTCGTTTAGCAGCTTCTCACCGAGGTAACTGGTAATACTACAGTTCAATAAAATATGATAAAGTAATGTATAGCTAGGCTTAAGTAAAAGTCTGAAAGAATATAGAAAACAAAATAGTTAACTGCTTGAAAGCTAAATAATAAACTGTGGAAGAGTATAAAAGTCAACGTGAATAAAACTGTTCCGATGCAACCAAGGAAATACTTACTTGGGTGTTCGCAGCTTCCCCCCATTCTGGTAGTATTCCAGAACCAACTCAAACGCTTGTCTGTTTCTGTCGAAGAAGTAGTGACCAGTCTCCTGATCCAAGTAACGCTCTCTTTCTGACGAGGCTAGCAGAGAATCAGGATTCATAAACAGTTGGGAGTTCAATATTTCATATACCTTCCCGCTGATATCAACTGTTATTGAAGTGTCGTCAACCTTATCCACTAGTTTAGAAAGAGCGTTCTCTATCTGGTTACCACTAAATGTCTGGTTACCCTGGTTACCACTAAATGTCTGGTTACCCTGGTTACCACCAAACTCCCCTGGAGTTTCGTTATGAGATCTTGTTAAGAGTCCTTTTAGATTGAGGGGACTGTTCAGAGTGTCTGTGGTAGGGTAGAGTGAGCCTGCTTTTAGAAAGAGAGAAGCAGGATTAGTAGGTTTAGTAGGTTCTGTCATTGTACAGAGGGTTGAGGGAGTCAGGAGAAGGTTAGAGGGAGTCAGTCTTCTGCTATATCTTCTGCTATACCTGTGTACTGTAGTCAGTTTAGTGTACGTGTTCACTTCACCTTTCTGAATGTTACTTATACTGACGTTAATATATTCAGTGTAAATGTAACAATAAAATCAAATTATAGGTTTATTGTTTAATTATGCTGATCGAACGAGCAACACGTTGTAAATAATTAAAACTTAAAGCGTTTTCTAAAACTAACTGTGTTAAAATGAGCCAAATAGGAAAACTGTGGCAATGCAAATCAGTTAGACTAAAACAAGGAGAATCAACAGTAAATGTGTGAAACGGTTCTGAAGCAGTCGTTTAGTGCAGTAGTTGCAATAAACCTACTAATTGGATAATAACAATACTGTAAAACTAACGCTAGTAAATATTAGGCACTAGTTTATATACAGTTGCAGTATAGATATAACAAAGCTTTGTTAACTTTGTAGGGATAATGAATATTTGGACAAAACGGAGATTGAGAGATTGAGAGGTGTGACCAGTCAGCAACTTTTGTAAACAATAAAATTAGAATGATTTAAACTATAATATATAAGGTTCTTTTCTTTTCAGCTATGATTTAAACTATAAGGTTCTGTTATTTTCAGCAATGATTTAAACTATAAGGTTCTGTTATTTTCAGCAATGATTTAAACTATAAGGTTCTGTTATTTTCAGCAATGATTTAAACTATAAGGTTATGTTCTTTTCAGCAATGATTTAAACTATAAGGTTCTGTTCTTTTCAGCAATGATTTAAACTATAAGGTTCTGTTCTTTTCAGCAATGATTTAAACTATAAGGTTCTGTTCTTTTCAGCAATGATGAATCCCCAAATGATGCAGCAGATGATGCAGAACATGAACCCGCAGATGATGCAGCAGATGCAGGCTCAGATGCAGGTTTGTTGTTTAGCTCGTACATTTCATACTAACGTCCTGTCATATTCAGGGAATTTAAAACCAATTTAACTACCAATTTTAATTTAAACTTTGCAATTTGTTGTTCAGATGATGTTGAGATATCTCGTCAATAGATAGGGATACTGGTGCACCAAACTGCCCCGTTTATTTTGACACGTGAGTCACGTGACGTGACACGTGACAGTGGTTCTGGGATTTGACTGGATGCTGGAAGATGATTGGCTAAACTACCTACCACCTACCTAACTACCTATTGTACTTACAACTTTGCAGAAAAATAAGATTAACTTCTACCAATACCCCGGTCTACTGTGTAGCCAGTACCAAGTAACACTCTGTAGCTATGGTAACTAGTAGTGTAACTATGGTAACACTCTGTATTTACAGCAGTTTGGTATGCCGGGAATGCCCCGACCTCCAATGCCGGGTATGATGCCGCACGGAGCTAGAGGACTTATGCCAGGAATGCAGAGACCTGGTATGCCGCCCCCGCCCCCAGGGCCCCCCAGAATGGGACCTCCCCGTCCCGCTATGTCAGAGAGACCTCCCCCTCCCCGACCTCCTGCTCCAGAACTTCAGTCTATGAGCAGGTTTGTTACTTATTTACAATTACTAATATTACTAAAAGTAATCTTATTTAGCCAGTGTTAATACCAACTAAAAGTTAGTTCTTGTAACACCACACTTTCTCAGGCCCCCAGCTCTGAACAACGTCCAGCCACCTCCAGGGCCCCCCAGGATGCCACCTCCAGGACCACCACAACGTCCCCCACCAGGACATGGTCCTCCCCCGAGTATGGGGGGTCGCCCCATGCTGTTCCCTTCAGCTGGCGGGACACAGGGTGTACCCCCTCCACCCCCTGCTAAAACCAGTGGCCAGGTTCGTTCTTCAATAAACATTTCGTTTTTCTGGTATTTCGTGTATTCTTAGCGTTTGTGACCTAGGAAGCTAAAGTGGTGGTAATATTCGGAAGCCAAGCTCAGTGTAAAAAGTAAATACGGTCCAGGTCTCTGATTTTACAGATAGACTTTAGCACTGCTAGTTGCTACCTTAATATGTTTATAAAACATGTTCATAAAACATCTGGTTTGTGAATTACCGCGCTGGTTTCTGAATTACCGCGCACTGATAATATAAGTCTGATTGCTTGTTTATTCTTTGTTTTTGTTCGTTTCCATTCCCAAATTCGAAAAATCTTCCACATCTTTTTAGACTAGCAAAATTATCCAATCTGACAGTTGTGTATTTTCACGCCCAAACGCGCGCCGCGCGCGTCTTCTGGCGGTTCAATTTGATATTACTTGAATTTGTCGAATTTTAATCTGTCTGTGTTATTTATAAATATCCCAAAAAGGTAGTATAATTAAATCTGTGTTTAGCACTTATTTAGGACTTAAGAGCGAGTTCCTGGTTAGTAAAATGAGCTGAGAAATAAAGAGGATACTTTTTTCAGGAAGTTGCTCCAATCAAACCAACTCTGATTAATAACTGTCAAAAGCTTATTTATGCCGACGACGATCTGTCAATGGTAAGTCCGAGTCAAAACAAATATCTCTATTCAAGTTCCACTCTATTATGCTCATTTTATTTTTTATGTCTGAAATTCCACTATAAAAGTTCTAAAAGCTGTGACATTACCTTTACATTACCTTAACATTACCTTATTCTAAAAATATCTGGATCAGTCCTGAACCCACAAAGGGAATTAACCGAACTTGCTCTCCACCTACCACCACTGGATGTGCAACTCGAAGCTCTCTCGGTTAAATTCATGTGCAAAATACTCACACAAGGTGACAATCTTTCAGCTACCCTCTACCAAGTTGATGAAAGCAGAATACCAAGTTTTCATGTCCTAACAATGTCACTGAAAAAGTACTTCCTCTGGAAAGAAAATAAGTCACACGGAACCAGAATGATAGACCTAACGCAGCAACACTTCAAGGATCTAGCCTATTACACTCAGGCAGACATAATGAGCTACAAAAATAAGATCTGGATTGACAGCATCGAAACAAATCTGCAATGCAGAACTGTCAGTAACAACAAGGAGACCAAGATACTCGGTGTGATCACAAAAATCAAAAACAGTGGGCTGCTCCTAGACAAAAACAACTTTTTATTCGGGCACAACACGAGTAAAAATCTGGACAGCCGAATAATGGACTACATTCACGGCAGCTCACCACTCTTTGCGAATATCCAACAGATCATGGGTGGTGGCAGTGGTGAGGCCTGTCGTTTCTGTAACAGCTTCATTGATTCCCCCGTACACCAGCTCCTATTGTGTCTGGAGGTGCAAGACACCAGTTACCTGCAACTGAAAGAAGAGCTGGGTGGGACAGACTCACATTCCTATCTAGATGAAGTGTTAACAAAAAGCAGCACACAAAAAGCATTCATTAGGAGAGTCGAATTTCTTTGGGGACAAAATGATGCTCTCCAGGATTTATCCCACTAGAAAGATCATGAAATAAAGACTCTACAAACATCTCAGAGAAATATTACCACCATAAAGAACAAAGAGGGAGTATCCTGGACCCCGAAATCCACCACTTTTCTGTACTTTCAGAGGTACCAATGTGGCAGGAAACCAGGGCTCATGCTGCCGCTGAGCTAAAGCAGTAGAGGGGATGGCGGCTTCTCTAGGATCTAACACGTCCTGAAGCAGACCAACACTATGTCCCAACGCACTGGTGTTGGGATGTCTGCCCCCGGTGCCTGTCCGGGTCAATAAAGCAGTCAAGCATCATGTATGTTATGTTGAGCATTCTCAACCAACAAATGTGGGAACTCCCACGAAAGACCAAAACAGATCTAAAGAGACACTTAGCAACATTGGAAAATAGACTTCAATTTGTTTATATAATTTATAAAGCGTATATTATTGCCCACGTTAAGGGGCCTGTTAATAATTTATTAAATTATTAGCTATTTTAGATTTAATAATAATAATAATAATACCTTAACATAACCTTTACATTACCTTTACGTAAAATCCGGATTGGAGTATTATTTATTTATGAGTCGCATTGTTTTAAACTATTTTCACAACTACAATTAAATACATTTATTGAGATCATGAATACGATGTAGTTACATTGAAACGTCGAGTAATCTCCTTTCCCTAATAAGAGCATTTTTACTTGTCGCAACAACCGGGATAAAGATAATTTTACCCAGAATACATTACCTTTACATTACCTTTACATTACCTTAACATTACCTTAACATTACCTATACATTACCATAACATTACCTTAACATTACCTTTGCATAACCTTTACATTACCTTTACATTACCTTTACATTACCTTAACATTACCTTTACATTACCTTTACATTACCTTTACATTACCTTTACATTACCTTAACATTACCTTTACATTACATTTACATTACCTATACATTACCTTTACATTACCTTTACATTACCTTAACATTACCTATACATTACCTTTACATTACCTTTACATTACCTTTACATTACCTTTACATTACCTATACATTACCTTTACATTACCTATACATTACCTATACATTACCTTTACATAACCTTTACATTACCTTTACATAACCTTTATATTACCTTTGCATTACCTCTACATTACCTTTACATTACCTTTACATTACCTTTACATTACCTTTACATTACCTTTTCATTACCTTTACATTACCTTTACATTACCTTTACATTACCTTTACATTACCTTAACATTACCTTTTTTTATTTCAAAATTCAAATAAACTTTACATCAATGTATTACAGTTATATTCAATAAAAAGACCACAATATCTCCTGTGAAGCAAAAACATGGAAAAAGAGAGCTAGAAAAATATTCATGATACTCAACACTACCAGACTCAGCTGGAGTGAGAAACAATATATGTAAAAACATCAAGGTAAAATTTATTTTGGCTGAACCAAAACACGGTGGTAAGACCATAATAACATTGGTGCCGACCCTACATAAAATCATTAATAAATAATCAAGAGAACAAATTTAAATGTATACGATACCTTCTTGCTACTACTCCACAAACTTACACGACATAACAACAAAATAACATAATTAAATAATATTATAATAAAACAATCTATAATCTAGCCACTCACGTACTGCGTGACGCGCTTGTTTCGGGTTGTTTCATAAGAGAAAAAACGGCGCGTTCTACTGCAGGTGCGAGGGGCAAATTATAGAGAGTATGACATTCATAAAGTAAAATATATATATAATAATATTCCATGATGGGCCGTCTAATCAGGCCAGCATACGTCAGAAGACCAGAGAAATTCAGTTAGCTTTGTTTTGAAAATAGAAATTTTCTCAGTCTGTCTAACATAGGCTGGCAGTGCATTCCACAGAAGCATTGTTCTATAAAAGAAGCTGTTTCTGAAACTATCGCAGTTTGGTACAATAGAGCAGGTATATGTGCTGGTGTCAAGTCCTTCAATGACTGATGCCGTGCTCCTTGTGTACCTCATTGTTCCAGCTTCAACAACAGTAATATATTCAGGTAGAGATATACTTACCAAATCATTTACTATTTTATAGAAGAGCGTAATTGAATTATGGATGAACTTAGATCTAATGGGTAGAATTTTAAGCTCCTTCTGCTTCTCATAAAATACAATATCACTATAATGATCAAACTGTTGTCCATTGATCCATTTGATCGCTCTTTTCTGGATTGCCTCAAACTTCGACATGTGTGTCGATCGCTGAGGACACCATATAACTGAGCAATGTTCAAAGATTGATCTTACAATGGTAAGGTAGAAAGCCCTCTTTTGGCGTTTATCCATGGTAAAATGACAGGTTCTCTTTAAGAGCCCAAGCTTCGAGCTTGCTTTAGATATCAATTGATCACAATGTGCACCCCACAGAAACCTGTTGTTCATTATTACACCAAGATCTGTATGGGATGCCACATAATCAATTATGACTTCATTAAGATTATACCAATAAATATTAAAAGGAAGATTGTCTAATACATTTCTTTGCAGAGTTACAGATAACACCTTACACTTTGAAGGGTGAAAAGTCATTTTGTTATCGATTGACCAGGCAAACAACCTGTCTATATCTCCTTGAAGAATATAGTGGTCTTCAAAGCATTCGATGACCCTCCAAATTTTGGTGTCATCTGCATACAATGCTACATTTGTATCCTCCGAAACACACGAGAACATGTCGTTGATGAATAGAACAAACAGAAGTGGTCCCAGAATAGATCCCTGGGGCACTCCTGATTGCACGGGAAGCATGCTTGAGACAGCTCCGCCTACAACAACCTGCTGTCGTCTGTCTTGTAAATACGACTTTAAAAATCTAAGCATCAGACCATCAATACCATATAAATTTTTTAGCTTGCGAAGGATTAAGTCATGTGAGACACTGTCAAATGCCTTAGCAAAATCAAAATAAACAATGTCGGATCTTGACTTATTGTTCAGGGCCAGTGCAAGGTTGTCTGTGAATGGGACCATCTGGGTAGTGCAAGACTTCCCATTCACAAAACCGTGTTGTCTACAGTCGATTAACCCTTCACAAGCTGCGAGCAACTCTTTCGAAATACAACGTTCAAAAACTTTCATAACTAAGCATGTCAGTGAGATGGGTCTGTAATTTTCAACAGATCCTTTTTCACCCTTCTTGTGTACCGGGACAACAGAAGCAAGCTTCCATTCCTCCGGCACACATCCAGTCACAAAAGAGCTGTTGAAAATCATGGTTAGAGGCTTTGCAAGAGTGCTCGCACAATTTTTTAACACAGTGCCATGGATACCATCTGGACCTGCGGCTTTACCCGGTTTAACCCCTTTCAAAATTAACAAAACATCCAACACGTGAAATCTCAAATCCATAAAATTGTTACTGGAGCTCATGTCGATGTCAATGTCATATGAGCTACTTGAGGAGAATTGTTGATAGAAGTATTCATTGAATAAGCTAGCCTGTTCAACTGGTGTGTTCCTAAAACGATCACCGTATCGGACCGTTTCAGGTATCCTAGTCGACTTAGACTTTGATTTCACGTGTGTCCAAAACTTTTTGGAAATAAGGGCAGAATCAGAATCATCTTCGACACTGAGTCTCATCTTTTCGTTCATTATGCGTTTAAAATCTTTGCGGTACTGACGGAACTTTTCAAGATCAGACTCATTGCCAGATTCATTAGCCTTTTCTCTCCATTTCTCTTTATCTCTCAGAACCCTATCACAATCAGAGTCATACCAAGGCGGCTGAAACTCACACTTAACATTTTTCTTTGGGATATATTCATTGCAGAGTTTAATCAGAACATCTTTGAAAAGAGGCCAGGAAATGTGTGGATCATGAGACCCAGCCACATTATCCCAATTGACCCGCCTCAGAGCAAAGTTCAAGCCGTCCCAATTGGCTTTGGTATAGTTATATACTTTGCGTTTAGGAGACTTTCTGCGGCTGACATTGAAGTTTATCCCAAAGTTGATACCAAAGTGGTCAGATAAGCACGCCTCATTATGATCCAGTATTTTTAAATTGGTAATAATATTAGGGACATTTGTGAACAGTAAATCAAGCACATTCCCTGCTTCATGTGTAGGTTCATTAATTAGTTGAGTGTGTCCTAGGTCACCAGTAAGGAAATCCAGGAAGCCATTTTGCAGTTCACAGGATGTCTCACCAGCAGGCCAAGAAACACAGTTCAAATTCATATCTCCTATTAAAACATGCTTGTCAATCTTCTTTTTTAATGCAAGAGTTCTAAAATAATTAGAAAATTCCACGTAATTGTCGTCGCTTAAAGTCCCCACTCTATAAAAAGTCGAAATACACAACTTTCTACCAGTCGGAAGCTTTAAGACAACAGACAATAACTCAGCTTGAGCTTTCACTACAGCTATCCTAGTACTAGTAACATCTAGATCAAATCTATGAGCTATTAAGACTCCACCCCCGTTTTTTCTAAACCTCTTAGGTCGTTCAGGATCCCATGGATGAGTTTTGAGGGACCTGTCCAGCCTAAAGATTTTATAACCAGAAGGTAGAATCTCACTATCCAATATTGACTTTTTCAGCCAAGTCTCATTTAAAATAACAATATCAGGTTTTTTTGTATACAAAAAACCATGCAGTTCATGTACTTTCGTCATGTTAAGTGGTGGGTTAACTGACGCAAGGTCACGAGTGTTAATTAGACCTTGTACATTGTTATAAAAAACAGATATAGGCTTTTTCCCAGGTCCTGGATTTAAAAGTGACGTGTTACATATAATAAGCAATATTAGGTTCAGGGAGAAAGTGTAGATAACCAGAGCAGTAAGAACACCAATCCATCTCAGAAAGAATTGGAATGATCTTCTCAGAGCAGATGATTTACGACACTTTAAATAATAAGATCCTTTATCAAAATATCTCAGAATAAATGCTGTCTGAATAATTATTAGGAAATACAGGTTAATACTACTATAAAGGCTGGGAAGATTACCAGGTCTACCAATATGACTAATATTCTTTAATCCACTGTCCACACGTGTTGATAGATCCAACGAAATAACAATAATAAATAACAAAATATACAGATATAAAATTAGTGAACTGACAAATAATCCAATGGGTGAACATAACTGGGACAACACAGACACGTAGCAGACTTTTCTTTTACCACAAACTTTTCGAACAACAGAATTAAACTTTCCAGTGCATATGCGGTGTTGCTGGTCATTTATTCCCATGTGTAGCAATGTCACGGTTGTGTTTTACCCAGGTGTATCTATCACTCAAAATTCACTTTTTAATACATCATCTAAATAATTTATCTAACAAATATGAATCATACTTAAATACCAATCTCAGTAACCCAACGGATTAAACCATGTTGAGTGAATGAGAAAGATATAGTGTCTTGCTAACACACCCATACCCCTAGCATTGGGGTGAATATCCCACTTCTTGGATTCCAAACTATACTTGGGAAATAACTGGTAGTTCCTGCCGCCCCATGAACTAAGGAAACTACTAAAGACATCGAGGTAAAATAATTTAAATTTGGAACAAAGACTAAAGAGTAGTTTGTTCATAGGAACAAAGACTAAAGAGTAGTTTGTTCATAGAGACCACGTTTTGTTCTCCCATAACATTACCTTTACATTACCTTTACATTACCTTTACATTACCTTTACATTACCTATACATTACCTTTACATTACCTTAACATTACCTTTACATTACCTTTACATTACCTTTACATTACCTTTACATCACCTTTACATTACCTATACATTACCTTTACATTACCTTTACATTACCTTTACATTACCTTAACATTACCTTTATATTACCTTAACATTACCTTTACATTACCTTTACATTACCTTTACATTACCTTTACATTACCTTTACATTACCTATACATTACCTATACATTACCTTTACATCACCATAACATTACCTTTACATTACCTTTACATTACCTTTACATTACCTATACATTACCTTTACATCACCATAACATCACCTTTACATTACCTTAACATTACCTATACATTACCTTTACATTACCTTTACATTACCTTTACATTACCTATACATTACCTATACATTACCTTAACATTACCTTTACATTACCTTTACATTACCTTAACATTACCTTTACATTACCTTTACATTACCTACACATTACCTATACATTACCTTTACATTACCTTTACATCACCTTGCTCAGGAGGAGCGGAGAGCGATATCCCGGAGACGAGGCCTGACCAACACATCCACAATATCCGCTCAACCAGTCCGCAGCCGACCCCCTCCACAACGGGGATATTGAGCTACTTCTAGAAGCTTCTGTAGTTTGACCTTGCTAGTGGGTACGTCAGATAGTGTCTGACTGCATCCCTCGTTTATATGTACATGTAAACCTGTCGACTCTCTTTAGTTCCTAATGGTGGTTTTATGTTACCTTCTTCTTTGTTATTGTATGATATATAGTATGCTGGACATAACTGACTGAATCATTGAGCCTGATTTAATTTATTTTCCAGAGATTGAGTGCGTTTCTCCTAAATCACATCTGGCAACCTCCGAAATCGCCAGTAAGTCGTACAAGTAGGATTTTTGTTACTCAAATCCTAGGAAATTTTGACCTATTGGACTTTGTGATCCATGTTATGTAATTATGTTCCCGTTACTCAACTACCTACCTATTGAACCTGTTGAAACTACTTTAAAGAAAGCAGAAAAGGTTTGAGACGTGGAATTTATGTACTATTTTTCAAATTTACAGGCTTTCCAAGTAGGATTATAACAGAGGCTCGTGTAAACAATTCTCTTAATCTAAAGCAAGTTGAACTTTCGATGATTTCCTCTTTACTTAGGATGCATTTTCAGTATTTTTGGGTTCACACAGGTTTGGAGAGTTTTAAATAATATATATTATATATAGTATATAATAATAATATATTACATTTTCTTACACTTGGGACTAACCAAATCATCGGTTCTATATATCAACAAATTTACGGCTAATATCAGCGTATTATAATATTATCGCCCGAGCGTAAGCACTTCATTAGAAATATAATTATTAACAGTCTGGCCGGTGTTCACACAGGTTTGGCTCGAGTTAGTCACTGGCAAAGCTTCATAGATTATGACGCTTTGCGTTTATCAGTGCACTCAATACCTTCTTCAATTGCAGCACATGTAGTACTAGTACTAAATTATACACATAATATGTAACTGTACATGTAGTACTAGTACTAAATTATACACATATAATATGTAAGGATACTGTTTCCTCTTATTGTATCGCATGTTATCGGCCACAATCCAGGTTTGCTTAATCCGCCTTAATTCCTCCCCGGGACCTCGTGTACTATTAACTCCTCACTTTAGGTTACTTTACTTTACTCCTCACTTTACCATTCACCAGATTCCACTCGTTGTGATTAAAAAGTTTGATTCAGCGGTTAATAGCTGTAAAGTGCAACTTATCATTTCTGCAACAGGTACAACGTGTTGTTATATTGAAGTGTATACATATTGTATTTTCATAGACTTGGTTTAAAATGTTGTTTTATTTTGTCCTTTAGCGCTAGTAGCAGGGTGTAGTTGAGTGTGCACTACGTTGTACAGAGTTTTGTTGCTACTCAATTGGGGTAAGTAGGACATTGGTAACTCAAATACAGTGAATTTTAATGCTACATTATTATTTAATTGAAAATAAAACGAAAGAGGGTGAATTATGAAATGAATAACTAGTCAAGCTGGATCGCATATTGTAGCGTGCGCTTAGCTGTATACTGACCACATAACACATTTGATATAATCACACACGACTACTGACTTGGAGTAGGACCTCAGGAACCGAGTACCAGATTGAAATCGAGTCACTTTAGTCAATTTATCTTGTATACACTGCACAATGTGGGGGGGGGGGGGGGGGGTCCAACTACATTTTTGTACATGGCCACCAGATTTTTGCCAAATGTACATGTACAAAAATGTACAAAATATGTTTTTTCCTGTTTGGCCACCAGATTTTTGCCAAATGTACATGTACAAAAATGTTCAAAATATGGTTTTTCCTGTTCCGTTTCCAGGGATTTCCGATTTTTTGTACATTTTTTATGACCATTAATGTACATGGCCATCAGATCTTTGCCAAATGTACGCTAAATTAGTGTACAAAAATGTAGTTGGACCCCCCCCCCCCCCAATGTGTCTGAAATGAGAATGTGAACAATGATGTGGAATATGATGTTGTAAAGCTAATTTAAAGTTAGCACAACGAGAGAGACTTTGCGGAGAAACGAGGGGCTTTCATTGCGCCCCAGTAACTCGTACTCTGTTTTATAGATCTATAGTATAGCGTATAAGGCTCATGGTAGTCGGGTGTACTAACAGGAACCCGTCTAACCCTAAAGTGGTGTCATTTAGTAACATTTAAAAATATGTCAAGTCTTGAGTCTTGACATATTTTAAAATGTTACTAGTCTCTTGAGTCAAGAGACTAAAATGATTATTACCTATTTAATTTAACGGGTGATACTCGTAAAATATTATTTCCAATTATCAGGACCGTCGACGAGTCCAACTCGGCGCGCGTCCTGGTAGGTTGTAAACCTACAATATTTAATTCGCGATTTTTACATCAATTGGGGGTCCAAATTTTGGGCACTGAAATTCTTATTCCTCGGCCAATTTAAAAAAATTTCATTCTGATTTTATTTGAAGGTTGTATGTTTATAACTTAGTCTTACCAATACCAAGACGCGCGCCGAGTTGGACTCGTCTACGGTCTTGAAACAAATATTTTACGAGCAACGTGAACGAGTATCACCCGTTATAATATTATTATCAGTATCACGGAGGGGTTCAACGAGTAGACAGCCGAACTTCGCTTAAGGGTTGATTGACGATGTCAATCCATCGAGATTGTTGCAAATAGAGGCTACAAATTAGCCAACTTCTCCGAGATTCCGGACAACTTGAGGCCAACTCTGGCCAAGTTAACAAAGAGCATTGTTTCCATGTCTCAAACGAAACGCGGTCCCGTACATTCGTACAAGCTAACACATTACAAGCTAACACATTTAAGTGCTCTCTTCAGAAAAACGACTCCAAATCTATTCGATTAAAATTAAAGAAAAATTCTCAAGGAAATATCCGTGTCAGTGTTAAATTCACCCGCTCAGCTCTTGTCATACGTTGTATGACCCGCCGCGCACGAAGTGCGCGGCTCCCCCTGTAGCGTCGAAGACGCTATAGTGAAACGACCGTGGGGGTCACCACGTGATACAACTCAGCTTAGTGGAGAAATAGAGTGCGAGGACGAAATCCTCCAAATAAACAATACCCCAGTTTCTGGAAACAGCGTCGCTTTTTGTAAACAAATAATCATGAACAGCGAGGATAATGTCCAACTTCTTATATTGGGCAGGACTAAATTATAGTTTGTAGGACAGGATAGGTTACTATAGTGTATAGATTACTTTCTAAAATTTTATATTTCGTTTTCTGAATTTGATTTCAAGATAAAAGACACTTATGTTGTGATTGCTGATCAGTCTTTAAACGAGGCTACGATTAACAATTTTATTATATTTAAACAGTTTTTATTGCAACACTTTTGGGCCAAACAGTCCCAACTGGAACATGGTTAATATAATTAAATTAAGTACAATCTAAAATATGCGTCAATAAGTAGACTCTTTCAAATCATGCTTAAGGTTTAAATTCACGATAAAATCAACCACTTTGTATATATTATTACACGTCGTGATTCTGAAATTTAAAATATTTTCAAATTGGACAAATTTGTTAATTGACTTGTAGGTTTTATTGACTATTGAGCATGATATTACTCGTTAAACCAACTAATAGTACTATTTTTTCCATGGGACCTCATATTGACAGGCAAATTATTTCAGACTGGCAATAGGAAACGTCTGTCAATTCCACACGATTTTCACTTTCGCGAGACAAATAATTACAATGATTACCAGTGTCGCAGAAGTATAATATTTCAAATTTTGTTATCAGCAAGAGTTACTAATATGAATTACAATAAGTCTTACTCGTAGGGGGAGAGGGGGGGGGGGGCACATTTTCAGGTTTGAGAGAGTTACACAATCCAAATAAATTTTGAAATGTTTACAGTCCCTATACTTCATTCCCTTCGCCTCTGAGAGAATAATTCTCAGAGCAAAGAGTTAAGTTTTGGTTAACTGTATTAGTCATTGGAGTTTTTATGAATTGAGAAAATGTGTCCCCCTACCTCATAAATCATAGATCAACCATAATTATTAATAAATATCATATCAATTCATCTGATATCACATCGTCAAAGAATAAGTATAACATCCAATATATTTTCATCTAATATCACAAATAATATTCCTCTAAGTCACGAAACATTACAATCAAAATCACTTCTATCAAGAAACTGTCATTCCTCAAAGTCCCTTAATATCTCAATAAAAGTCTCATATATCAAGAGACTATAATTTCTCGAAGTCACATAACATCCCAATCAAAATCCCTTATATCAAGAGACTATAATTTCTCAAAGTCACTTAATATCCCAATCAAAGTCCCTTATATCAAGAGACTATTATTCCTCAGAGTCACTTAACATCCCAATCAAAGTCCCTTACATATCAAGAGACTATAATTTCTCGAAGTCACATAACATCCCAATCAAAGTCCCTTATATCAAGAGACTATTATTCCTCAAAGTCTCTTAACATCCCAATCAAAGTTCCTTATATCAAGAGACTATTATTCCTCAAAGTCACTTAATATCCCAATCAAAGTCCCTTATATCAGAGACTATCATTCCTCAAAGTCACTTAACATCCCAATCAAAGTCCCTTGACCTTATATCAAGAGACTATTATTCCTCAACGTCTCTTAATATTCCAATCAAAGTTCCTTATATCAGAGACTATTATTCCTCAACGTCTCTTAATATTCCAATCAAAGGTCCTTATATAAAGAGACTGTAATTCCTCAAAGTCACTCAACATCCCAATCAAAGTCCCTTATATCAAGAGACTATTATTCCTCAATGTCACATAACATCCCAATCAAAGTCCCTTATATCAAGAGACTATTATTCCTCAAAGTCACTTAACATCCCAATCAAAGTCCCTTATATCAAGAGACTATTATTCCTTAACGTCTCTTAATATCCCAATCAAAGTCCCATATATCAAGAGACTGTTATTCCTCAAAGTCCCTTAATATCTCAATAAAAGTCTCATATATCAAGAGACTATTATTCCTCAAAGTCACTTAATATCCCAATCAAAGTCCCTTATATCAAGAGAATATTGTTCCTCGAAGTCACATAACATCCCAATCAAAGTCCCTTATATCAAGAGACTATTATTCCTTAACGTCTCTTAATATCCCAATCAAAGTCCCATATATCAAGAGACTGTTATTCCTCAAAGTCACTTAACATCCCAATCAAAGTCCCTTGACCTTATATCAAGAGACTATTATTCCTCAACGTCTCTTAATATTCCAATCAAAGGTCCTTATATAAAGAGACTGTAATTCCTCAAAGTCACTCAACATCCCAATCAAAGTCCCTTATATCAAGAGACTATTATTCCTCAATGTCACTTAACATCCCAATTAAAGTTCCTTATATCAAGAGACTATTATTCCTCAAAGTCACTTCATATCCCAATCAAATTCCCTTATATAAAGAGACTATTATTTCTCAAAGTCACTTAACATCCCAATCAAAGGTCCTTATATCAAGAGAATATTATTCCTCAATGTCACTTAACATTCCAATTAATATCCCTTATATCAAGAGACTATTATTCCTCAATGTCACTTAACATCCCAATCAAAGTCCCTTATATCAAGAGACTATTATTCCTCAATGTCACTTAACATCCCAATTAAAGTTCCTTATATCAAGAGACTATTATTCCTCAAAGTCACTTCATATCCCAATCAAATTCCCTTATATAAAGAGACTATTATTTCTCAAAGTCACTTAACATCACAATCAAAGGTCCTTATATCAAGAGACTATTATTCCTCAACGTCACTTAATATCCCAATCAAAGTACTTTATATCAAGAGAATATTATTCCTCAACGTCACTTAACATCCCAATCAAAATCCCTTGACCTTATATCAAGAGACTATTATTCCTCAATGTCACTTAACATCCCAATCAAAATCCCTTATATCAAGAGACTAGTATTCCTCAAAGTCACTTAACATCCCAATCAAAGTCCCTTATATCAAGAGACTATTATTCCTCAACGTCACTTAACATCCCAATCAAAGTTCCTTATATCAAGAGACTATTATTCCTCAACGTCACTTAATATCCCAATCAAAATCCCTTATATCAAGAGACTATTATTCCTCAACGTCACTTAATATCCCAATCAAAGTCCCTTATATCAAGAGACTATTATTTCTTAACGTCTCTTAATATCCCAATCAAAGGTCCTTATATCAAGAGAATATTGTTCCTCAAAGTCACTTAATATCCCAATCAAAGGTCCTTATATCAAGAGACTATTATTCCTCAAAGTCACTTAACATCCCAATCAAAGTCCCTTATATCAAGAAACTATTATTCCTCAAAGTCACTTAATATCCCAATCAAAGTCCCTTATATTAAGAGAATATTGTTCCTCAAAGTCATGTCACTTAACATCCCAATCAAAGGTCCCTTATATAAAGAGACTATTATTCCTCAAAGTCACTTAATATCCCAATCAAAGGTCCTTATATCAAGAGACTGTAATTTCTCAATGTCACTTAACATCACAATCAAAGTCCCTTATATCAAGAGATTATTATTCCTCAAAGTCACTTAACATCCCAATCTAAATCACCTTTATCAGCTGTTACGTACAATCTAAGTCACTTTTAATAAATAACTAGTATTACTGATCGAAAGCCACTTGATTTTATTATCAAGTTACCTTCATTAAGTAACTTGTATTCTTTAAAGTCACTTAATATCACGATCAAGTCGTATTCTTCATATTAATGATTCAGAAGAAATTGTTCGCTCATTTTACTCAGAGATAATAGTTACTCCCACCAGAATGGTAGGAAATTATGCACATAATGTGCTCAGAAAGTTAATGTAGTATGTCATGAGTGAAAAGTCCCTTAGACTCATATATCCAAATAATGTGATCATATCAAGCTACTAAGATGGACGACAATATTGTGCCTTTTCATCTGAGCAACTTAACATCATCAACTAACACTTTATAACTAAACTCTATATCGAGTATCAAACTTTAAATAATATTCTTCTTGCCGTGTTTTACAGGTCTTCTTCTTGGCGTCAATATCAGGGGTCGTTTATCTTCTCTTCGGTTTACATTTCTTCTATCTTCATCTGCATACAGTTGGTGTTTGAGAGGTGCGTGTGAAGCAGACTTTCACAATTGTGGGGTTTGTGTTGTGGCACTTCTCTTTTTTCAGCGAGCTAGTTTAGGGCAGGTTGAGGTTTACATTTCACTACGTACTACGTAGGTTACAACATTACCCTTGACATTTTTTAAGCCTTTTGTGCAGTTTCTCTTTTTCCGAAGTTAGCTCCTGATTCTCCTCGATGAGATACTGATTCTCCGTGGTCATGTCATCGATCAAGAATTTGTACTCCTCCTGCATAAGACAAAATCCGGCCCGTGCTTCGGTGAGTTGTTTGTTGAGGCTGTCATTGTCCGCGGACAGTTCCTCCTTGTCCATGGTTAGATTCTTCACCACGTATTTATAGCCGGCACAGTAAGACTCTAAAGAGGCGAAATTGTTTTTAAGTTCAGTATTGTCCCCGGAAAGCTTTATATTTTCAACGGTTAGGTTCTCAACCATATCTTTGTAGCCAACCTCCAATTCCATGGCACAAAAACCAGACCGTTCCTCAACAAGTTGTTTGTTGAGGTTTTCAGTTTCCGCTGACAGTTTTTCCTTTGCCATGGTTAGATTCTGAACCATATTTTGGTAGTTGACACAGTAGGTCTCAAAAGCGACGAGTTTGTTGTTGAGTCCTTTATTGTCCCCGGACAGCTTTATCTTTTCAACGGTTAGGTTCTGAACCATATCTTTGTAGTCGAGAAGTCGTTCTTTCAGGTTTTCATTTTCGGTGGTTATGTTCTGGAACACTTTTGCGTTGTGATCCTCGGTTTCACTAAGTTCAGACTGCATCTCGAGAAGGCCGTCTTTAAATTTCTTATTCAAATCACGCAGCACTGTAATATCTTTTTCGTATGCTTGGTTGGTTTCTGAAGTAACGCGGCTAGGTAACAAAACTGAGCAACAATAAACAAATAAATTTCACCAACCTTGTGTACATTTTGTAAAATAATTAGCTGACCGAATATACTATTTATTTTTTGGTTTTCCATGTGATAAGTTTTCGATAATATTTAAAATAATATTTAAAATTTGAAACTGCACTTCAAATGAAAACAGCAATAAAACTGTTAATCGAGGAAGGGACTTACTGAATAAACCATTAACTCGCTGAACCAAACGAAATCTATCCTGCTCAACTTCCTGCAGTTTCTCGTACATGTCATGTTCCTGAGCTCTGGCGATGTAAATTTCCTCTTGTGAAAGTCGAAGATAGTATTTTAACTGTTCAACCTCTTCTTCTGCATTGCATAAGGAAATCATCATGTCAACTTCGCGTTCTACGTCATCAGTATTAATAAATTCAGGTTCAGGTTCAGGTTTGACTGGATTACACTGGTTCTAGTGAAGGAAATCAATATTAAACATTTAAACTACAGTAAGTACAGTATGCCATCTGCAAAGCAACAGCTCTCAAATATAAAACACGGCGGAGCTATTAAGGCCAACGTATGGGTACTGACTTTTGGCCCACCCTGTACATTAAATTTTATGTTGGTTTGTCCTTGTATTGTGCCTTGGAGTTAGATTTCAGATTTGTTTTTAAATTCGTTCGATAAAGTTGCTGCATATTAATCTCGGAATTTTTGTTTTGATTAATGATTAAAAATAAAAGCCTCATTTTTAATTATAATTTTGAAGTTTTATAAAATTTAGATACATATTGCAAAGTCATTATATTTATATTAGTGCGCATACTAATTTTCAATTTTTTATAATACTTACGAAACATTTATAATTTAATTGCAATTACGGCCATAATTTTTTGTTTTTATCAACAAAACTTTTGCCCATTAAAATTAGTTTTATTGCTACAAAATATTTGATCAAAAACTATTAGTGTGAAAGTATATTAAAATTTTGGTTTTTATGTAACGAAATACATTTGAATTGTATTTCATACAATTACAAGCAAAGAAAGCTGCCATTGTGCATTGCCAACTAACGCGCGCCGCGCGATGTTTCATATAATTCTGGACAAAATTAGACATTCATTCAAAAACGAAAAGTTTTATTAAGGAGCACGTTAGATCCCCTAAAGTTGTTACTATGCGTAACTATGCGCCTAGGTGACCGGTTTGATCCGGTTTGGTATCCTGTAACCCATTATACCAAAGGATCGTGATTCGGTCTTTATACTGGACGTTACCTGGGGACCTCAGGCTATCATGTTCATAAACATAGAGATTCGGCGGAATGACAGGATGAGCGCGGCCCATAGTAAACTGGACGGTGCTCAGTCTGTCATTCCGCCAAATCTCTATTCTATGATTATGAAATTAAATATAATAGCCTGGGGTCCCCAGGTAAGATTCGGTCGAAAATTTAAACCAAGTCCCAGATTATAAAATTCTTTCCAACCGCTACATATTCAAAAAACATTCAAGCTATTTTGTTGACTGCATTTTTAAGTATGAATAAAATCTCAAAATTTTGATGATCGTCTATATTTTGAAAAGAAATAATGTTTCCAATTTGACAAATAGCAACCTTGGTGACTTTTTTCTTAACGGGTGATACTCGTAAAATATTTGTTTCAAGACCGTACCGACGAGTCCAACTCGGCGCACGTCTTGGTAGGTTATAAACCTACAACTTTGTTCATGATTACATTCATATGAAAGTTTTGACTTGAATATTATGCAGTGGCCGCCTCATTTGGCGTATACAGAAACATGATGAACAAAATATAATATGAATATGATAATTGTATTGAAAATGGAATGAAGTTTTGAACTAAAATGTTTACTTTGATAATAGTCTCAGAGTCAATCCCAGAATCATCTGGATTAGGAACAATCGGAATCGGCTGCAAATTTCCTTTAATGATTCCGTGCTCAAAATCAAATTGTTCGGTTGGTTCGCTTATAGAAGAGGTCATATGAGATTGGTCATCGGCTTTGTGGCATATCCTTTGTTCGGGTACGTAACTTACATCACAATTAACAAGAGTGGCCTGAAAACCCATTAATTAATTAACTATCATTAGAACTTTAAAATAGAACTTATAATCTTATTAAAACCATGAAAATAACTGGAAATTAAAGTATTTGACCTAATTTATATGTTAACAAACAAATTGTTCCTATGCACATCACGACTAATGACCCCCCACAATTTGAATCCAAAACTGATTACATATCATGTTATGATTTCTTAGACGGTAAAATAAAACCGGTCTATCTTTCACATTTCATTTTCACAAGGTCCTACCTCAGAATCGCTCGAATCCATTAGGTCCGTATCATTTTCAACTGTAGTCCGAGTTTTAGTGTTCAACAATTCTTCCTCTACTTTTGAAAGTTTCTCTTGGAGAATTTTATTCTTTTCTATTTCCTTTTGTTTCTCTTCCCATTCATTGTAGGTCTTCACCTGCTCATGGTAGAGGTTGACCTGTTCTTGGTAGGTCTTCTGCTGTTCTTCGGCAACCATCTCATTCAATTTACATATTTGTGACTTGAGACTAGCGTTTTCAGCATCTTTGTTCCACATTTCTTGTTCGAGGTTTTCAACTTTTTCCCCCAGTAGACGGCTCTTTGTCATCTCATCTTCAAGCAGCTTGTTTGATTCCTCTTCTTTTGCAAGAGTAGGGATTGCTGGGTTCAATGTTTTCTGGTCCTCTGCCAGAAACGTGGCTTGCTGCTAAGAATTTGTTAGTATTAGTCAGCGTGATCTTTTTAATGATTATTAATTGCAGATTTATTTGAAATATAACATTCATTAAAATTAGCGGATAGCCTCGATTTTAAACAACAAACAAACCGTGGAGCAAGATTCCTGAATTTGCTGAATTTCTGTTCGATTTTGAAGCGGTGTTACTGATTGAGTCTTTCTGACAAGTTTCTGATTTTCAACCTTTTTCTTGCTTGTCAGATATGAATCCTGTAAGATTGTTAATAAGTTAAACATTTACTTCTACGTTGCATTATCCTACATGAGACTAAAACCGACAGGAACAACCAAAAAGTAAAGTTATGGCAAGTGAGGAGAAATTGGATGAATACATAATTGCAGGACGCAACGTAGTATGTATGATGTAGAAAATTTTACTAATACCTAGCTCTTCATACAAATTAATCAGAAAAACCGGCCTTAACAAATCGATTAACAGCATAAATGTCTTTGTGGTTTTTAAACAAAAAAATTACTCCAAGCACCACGGCCCAAAAAAAACTAATAATGAAGGTTGATGTCAAAAAACAATGAAATAGAAAAGCTGTAAACGCTTTAAATTTTACTTACAATATCACTAAATGCTTGTGTACTGTAAGTCTGACCCATAGTAACTTTAATGTCAGACAACTGTAGATAATCTTTTAACTTTGTATTTTCCTGAATTTTCCAAACGAAACGATAGGGCAGACGGACTATAAGCGAATGTATTAGAAACGAATAAAGAACTGAGGTTTAACGTGTGAGGGAAGCTTCTTATGGCACCCTGGTCTGTTGCCATGGAGAACGCGTGCGCGCGTGTAAGACGTGCGTGTTCTCATTGCATGTGACGAGGTTACGTCCTGTACTGCGCTTTGGGCTAGATCGATCCTCAACGGTTACCTTATCTTTCATTCGCCATTCTTTATCCGTGAAAGTGTTCGAGGGCCTTAGCTCATCTTTGATAGTTTGCGGTTAAGATATAAGCTCTAATTTCCACAAAACTTTACAGCGTTTACTGTTCACAGTATTCACTGTTCCGTCTTCATTTATCATTATGATAAAGCATACTGTCCTGATAACAAATTTTTGCTATGATTAAGGACACTTATCCTATTTATTTAATTCCAATTCCATTACTTCTGACCTCAATCTGGACATAGACTCCGTCAAAATGGTGAACTTTTAGTCAGCTTATATTTAAAAATAGGAAAAATTGGAACGGTTTGGTAAATCAAAATGTCAATTTCTCTAATTTTCGCCGGAAGTCTTGCTCCCAGAACAGCTCAAACGTGACTTGTACTATCCTTTGTTAACCCACTAATTGTTCTCATTTTAAGATTAACTACTGGTGGCTGAAGCAATAACCTGGCGGGAACCCCTGCACTTTCAGGCATAAGTATAATGTTCATAAAGATTAAACATAATAAAGATGCAGATGCGGCAGAATGACAGGCTGAGCCCCGCCCAGTAATAGTACTGAGTACTACTCATCGTCATTAACTTAGTCTTATCACCATGACTTTTTTACTCGTGTTTAAATTATTATATTCGATTTTTTTTCGTGAAATTGTATTTGTAACGCGGCTAATTTTTAAGATTTTATTTTTATAAAATTTTTAAGATTTTTAAGATTTTTATTTTAATGTGTAATCAGTGTAGCTTGTGTTGCAAATATCGAGCTCTCTAATCTTTTGTAAATTTGCAATAAGTTCAGTTTGCTGTTACCGCGTAGTTTACCTTTGCGTGTGTACTTGTACATTACTATACAAGTACACTATGGGGGATGACCCAACTTTGACCCGATCCCAGGAGTTGATTAAGGAGTTCAACTATGATCAACAGGAAGATGTGGAAGGCTGTGTTGCACGCTGGTCCGATCAGTTAGAAAAATACCTGCATATGGACTACCGTGAAATTGACTACGAAAGTCGTGAAAAGATCAAGACTAAGGATAAACAGACTCTGTCTAGATGGATTGTGGATGCAGTGGACCTTGTTCGTCGGCAGAGTAGTCAGATGTATCTCTTGAAGGAGATCATCGAGTGCTTCAAGACGGAAGCACTAGCAGACAAAGAAAAGGTGATCAGACTGCAGGGCCAGCTGCTGATGCAGAAGGACGAACAACTACAGTTGCTTAAGACGTCTGTTGAGGAGACAGTCCAAACAACGGTGGAGTCAGGGATTCAGAACTATAGTGCAGCTGTTCAACAGAACAGTGCAAGTGGTACGGTCTGCAACAGTAAAATCCTGAAGAAGGTGATGAAGAGTGTGGCTGCAGAGGAGGACAGGAGCAAGAACCTGATCGTGTTTGGGCTGAAAGAAGAGGAGGAAGAACAGCTTCCAGCGCTAGTTACCGCAGTTTTGGAGGAGATCGGGGAGAAACCTCACTTCGAAGCGACTAGAGTCGGTTGGAAGAGGCCAGGTAGTACGGCTATCCGACCAGTCAAGATCACCGTCCCAAGCTCAACAGCGGTTCATCAGATTCTGATGAAAACAGGGAGACTGAGGGAGACGCACAAAGATGTATGGATATGTCCAGACAGATCCAGCGAAGAACGAGCAACAAGGAAGCATCTGGTCACTGACCTGAAGAAGAAGAGGGCGGAACAGACTCATCTCGACCACTACATCCGGTACGGGAAGGTATGTAGCCGTGATAAGAAGTCATCATGAGTTACACTCTCGGACACTGATCAGTATATGAAGGAGTGATGATTATTTTAAGAATTTTCAGACGTTATCTGTATTTAAGAGACAACTATATATTTTGAATATTTTATTATTTGATTGTTTCACACTTTTCATATTTCATAATTTTATTACTAGGTGGAGGTGATGTTATTGAGACTTTGGGCGGCCATAAAACTCCTGTTTTGAAAGTTGTCCTCTGTACTTGTTTCACTGACCCACGCTTTATAGCATTTATACATTTCGGCCCATTTTATATGTTTGTTCGACTTGCTGTACATTTGTATATTTGCTATTTTGTAAAAGTTTCAAATCAAATCATAGCATTCTTTCGATTTTTAGAGTTCTGATCGTCTTTATGAATTGGTGTATTACCAAGGCGAGTTCGTACGTGTTCTCCTTGGTCAATTCATGTTTAATTCCTGTTCAAAGTTTAATTCCTGTTTAAAGTTTAATTCCTGTTTAAAGTTTAATTCCTGTTTAATTCCTGAGTACAGCTGCTACTACCCGGTATTCTGAATATCAATATATCAGTCGTATTTTGTGATATCCCAATAAATTTCGCCTTGCGGGATATGTCACATATATGGGAAAGCTAATTTTAATTGACTGGTTATGGGTTATATTATATCAAAAAATTCCATTTCGTTGAAATTGTTTTTGATTTTCAATTTTCAAAATATTTTACACTTTCGTATTAAGAGAAATAAAAACAACGATTAGTATTACCGGTGTCGCAGAAGTTAAATCATTCACATATGATCAGTTAGAATTATCAGTAGTAATATAAGTTATATTACTATTAGTCATACTTGTAGAGTGTGCAGTACCGTGTTTGGTCTTCCGTCAGATTTTACAGACGAATAATTTATTCGAGTTTATTTTATACGTTATTATTGCTGTACTGTAGGCACGGGTTACACTAGTCATCTAATATTTGCAATATCTTTGCATTTTTGCCATGAAATTATTTCCTATTTCTAACTTATAAAAATGCACTCCCAGATTTATAGGAAACTAATTTGCAACTGTTACAGTAAAAATTAAAATCTAACTTTCAAAAATGCACACCCAGATTTATAGAAAACTAATTTGCAATTGTTATAGTAAAAATTAAAATCTAACTTTCAAAAATGCACACCCATATTTATAGGAAACTAATTTGCAACTGTTACAGTAAAAATTAAAATCTAACTTTCAAAAATGCACATCCAGATTTATAGAAAACTAATTTGCAATTGTTACAGTAAAAATTAAAATCTAACTTATAAAAATGCACTCCCAGATTTATAGGAAACTAATTTGCAACTGTTACAGTAAAAATTAAAATCTAACTTATAAAAATGCACTCCCAGATTTATAGAAAACTAATTTTGAATTTGCAAAATTAAAATCTAACTTATAAAAATGCACTCCCAGATTTATAGAAAACCAATTTGCAATTGTTACAGTAAAAATTAAAATCTAGATAAAGATTTATTATTCATGCTAATTGTTCGCGTTCATATTATTAAGTTTTTGTTAGATTTGAGGAGATTTTGTTTCAAAGTCCGTTACGTGTTCAAAGGTAATATCTGGAGTCACTGCAAGAGATCCACAAAATAAATCAAGGCTCTCTACAGATCTAACCAGACCCCTCTCGCGCTTGCAGTAGCGCCCAACCGCCATTATATGCGTCACGTAGCATGCGAAGTCCGGCTAGTAGATGTCAGTGTTTTTAAGTTCTCTTTCGATCTCGTCACCTGAAGAAGTGTTTGTTAATAATAATAATAATATAAAAGTTTATTGCATTCCTTGCCCCGTTAGTTACCTGTCCTTCTTAAACCAAACTAGCAGTCAAGACAAAAAGTCATACACCAAATGGGCATTATATTTTATGAATTGTTTTACATCTTTTTATTCTGTAAAAATGTGCTAAAATTAAATTTCTTGTTTCATTGAAAATTTCTTGTTTCATTGATGATACAGACTAGTATTTAATTATTTTCAATATATTTTAACACCTAAGAATAAGATGTAAAGTTTTATGAATCTAATCCTACGTTTGTATTTTTGTAACGTTTTTAATTTTTAAAAACCTTTTATGATTTATCACTCCATAAAAAATGTAACGTTTGAAAAATAATACTAATATATCTTACTGACCTGGTGTACCCAACGGGAAGGATTTACTACATGTGTGTACAGTTGTTTTCTTAGTTTTCCAGATTCCGCTGGAGACCCTCCCTGATACCATCGTCATTGTGTAGGGGGCAGAAAATTCGCTTATTTCCTCAATAAATCTTACAACTAAGATCGATTTTGGCGGAACGATAAATTGTTCTTCAGTTACAAAACCAATGCTCTCTTTGGTAACAATTTCTTTCTTTTCTTCCCATTTTTCAGTTTGGTTTCTCTCAGCGGTTGCAGATATGGTCACTGGAATGTCAGGAAGCGGGATCTTAGCCCCTGCAGTCAACTTCCAGCCAGATGTACGCTCGTAGGTACTCGTGAAAGTAGATGTCTTTTCCAATGTTTCACTCAATGTTTCCCTATGCTCTACATTTACATCACTTGTGTTAATGCGTGTTTTTGGTGGTATTTTCATGCGTCTCACTGGTTTCTCCGTTTTGATGTTCACTTCATCCAGGATGAACCCATCTTTTACTACCTTATCTTCTGCGTAGAAAGTATATGTCACTCCATAAGGCAAGCCCAAGATATCGTTATAACAAGAGGTGAATGAGAAGACTTTTATAGTATTTCCAGCACTCTTATTTGTAATATTTTCTCTTGCTTCGATTGCCTGTGCTTCCCAAGAGTTCAAATTATTTATTCCCTCCTTCATCATATATCCGTTTAAGTCTCCGAGATTATCAAGAGACTCGTTCCACCATGCAGAGAAGATCGCTTGTCCAGTAGCTCCATTATTATGCGCGTCTATCGCAATTATTTGTCCTGCCTTAGCCCCTTTGTCTTTTAGCTCACCGATAATTTTTTCTGCGGCTTCTTCCCAGTTTCTTTCTCTTACCTCGCAGTGCTTTATGATTTGCTTTTCCCTAAATGAATCTAATGCAGGGGTTTTCGCTTTCGGCAGGCCGAAGGTTTCCAAATCTAATTGCAGCTTGCCGCCATACGCTCCCATGTCGCCCCATTCGGCTGGTATTTCATTTCTCACTGCAGGAGTTGTCATCGCGGATTTGTTATCGCACCAATTTGTAAACTGAAAATTGTTGAGGTAGTAGAAGTTGTCGTAGTAGAAGACAAATAAAACGGCCTTTGCTACTGTTGGTACAAATAGAATGCTGTAGTTCATGCTGCAGGAGGCTGTGATGGAAATGACATCTCTTGGCTCCAACATAGAGACAAACTGATCTGCTTGGTTGTAGAAGGTTTCCCATGAGAATGACCCGTTTATCAGTTTGTACTTTATACGGGTTTGCTCCTCAGTCGTCTCGAACCTATCATCCCAATATGCTGTGAGGTGACACACGAAAGAATTTAGATCCTCATGAGCATCTATCCACAGTATAGAACCTTTCTTTACCCCTCTATCCCACAATTTAGATGTCAGATCGGTTGCTGCACTTTCCCAGGTAGAATTTGCCACAAAGAGTGTGATGATTGTCATTACCAATATCCAGCCTGCTAAATTGAAATGATGAAACAATTAACATCAGTTCGTTTTAAACATAGCATGATTTTACGCAATAAAAAAGCTTAGTGACAACAAAATGTTTTACCTTGGGCAGGTTGGCAAAAAGGGGCCAACGTTTTTGCCTCATTGGCTCCTTTGCCCAGAAAATGATAAATTTTTGATACTTTTAAAGATATTTCTTTGATAAGTGTGTATTAGTTTTACCATCTGTAACAGCTAAGTTATTTGCAGTGCCAGTGCAGTTATACTATGTGCAGCTGAGGGGCGAAATTGGGCCAACTGTTTTGCCTCATCTGGCCCTTTCGTTTCGGGTGACCTACAACTGCACCCAATTGAATCTAGTTCCCACGCAGTTAATCAGCTTAATTGGGTGACCAATCAGCTTAAATCCCTGTCCCTGTCCCTGTCCCTGTCCCTGTCCCTGTCCCTGTCCCTGTCCCTGTCCCTGTCCCTGTCCCTGTCCCTGTCCCTGTCCCTGTCCCTGTCCCTGTCCCTGTCCCTGTCCCTGTCCCTGTCCCTGTCCCTGTCCCTGTCCCTGTCCCTGTCCCTGTCCCTGTCCATGTCCCTGTCCCTGTCCCTGTCCCTGTCCCTGTCCCTGTCCATGTCCCTGTCCCTGTCCCTGTCCCTGTCCCTGTCCCTGTCCCTGTCCCTGTGACATGAACAAAACGTATTTTCCAGAAATACTTTGAAAATTTTCTAAAAATTTTAGAAACCTAAGTTTGAAGTTGAAAAGTTGGCCCTTTTTGGCCCCTTGCCCAAATTTAATGGGGTGGATTGGGCGATGGCCCGAACCTGCCCCCTTCGCTTCTTACACCCCTGTGCGCGGCCCAGTATCGCATATCGGTCAGAGTCATTTCGGTCAGAGTCATTCTCGATACGTACCTCTAAAAGCAGAGCTCCCGCTTCTGAGCTCGTATTGCGAAGGAGATAGGCCTGCCTTCAGAGATCACATTACAAAGGGGTACCCTCGACACTCGATCCCAAACTCGTACATCTAAGTATTATAATAAAACAAATATTTAATAAAACAAATATTTATTTTTACGGCACAATCAAACAATATCAATAATAAATAAATCAGGGGAGGTTTGAAGAGGTTTCAAGTGCCGAAGGCCATTGCTTATCTTTAGGATTTGAGAGTGACCTGTGCTTGAAACCCCCTCAACCATCCACTACGTCAATATACTTGTTATACAAATATAGAAAAATATAATAATATAAAATTACTTATTGGTTTAGTTTGGTGACATAGGAGAGCCCAGTTGAGTTTTAGTTTAGGTTTAGGTTTTAAATTATAGTTTAAAAGGTTAGCCATGTTTCCTGTGCTGAACTACCTATCACAAAAATATTTGTATCATCAGCAAACAGGACGAATTCAGCCAAGCTTGAGGAGCTCACAATATCATTTATATAAATCAGAAATAGTAGAGGTCCTAACACTGACCCCTGGGGTACACCATACTCAACTGAACACTTATCCGATTTTTCAGTTTGAAAAGAAGTTACTTGGCTACGGTTTGTTAGATAGCTAGCAAGAGTTTTTAGTGCAATACCTCTTACTCCATAGTGTTCAAGTTTATGCAGGAGTTTATCGTGCTCAATTGTGTCAAATGCTTTACTTAGATCAATAAATATTCCAATTACATGATTTTTCTGTTCAATCTCATTAAGTATTTTATTGACAGAATAGTTTACGGCATGAGATGTTGAGTTTTGTTTTCTAAAACCAAATTGTCGATCATAAATCACGTTCATAGCACTGAGGTAATTATATAACCTATTATAAATTATTTTCTCAAGTATTTTTCCAAATATCGGTAATGTAGAAACAGGTCGATAGTTATCAAGGCATCGTGAGTCTCCTTTTTTATAAATTGGTGTAATAGAGCCGTTTTAAGCTTGTTTGGAAAGACCCCATTGTCCAAGAACCAATTAAAGAATCTAGAGATATGACCAGACAGATAATTTACACTCTTTTTTAAGACTTTAACAGAGATATCACTTGCCTTCCCATTTTCAAGGCTACCAATAATTTTACTTATCTCTTCCTCGTCACAGGGGCTGAGAAAAAAAGAGTTCACTATTCTTTCTCTGCCCTTGAGGTATTGTTTAAACTTCGTTTTATTGAAATTGCCATCAGTTACCGTACGAGATGGTACAGAAGATTGAACTTTTGAATTAAGAGTACGAGCAATAGACGAGAAGTAGATGTTAAATCCGTTGGCAATCTCACGGCGTTCAGTTACAATTCTACCATCAATTAAGAATGATGCTTTTATATCTTTTTTAGATTTACCCCTGAGTTCGTTAATCAATTCCCAGGTTTTTTTAATATTTCCTTTAGCAAGTTCAAATTTTTTCCCATAGTGGGCTTTTTTCGCAGATTTTATAGCTTTGTTTAGGATAGAACGATACTCCTTATACTTAAGATATAAAGTTTCCTCACCTAATGGGTTGATTTTGGTACACGAAGTGAAAGCCTTTAGTAAACACAGATTTAATTAACGCAGAAGTGATCCATGGATTCATCAATCTATTGCGTTTTGATTGAAAACCAGCAGTAGAGTCCACTTTGAAATTCAGTTCGATTTTTTCATGGACAGTTTCGACAAATTTTTAAAACCTTCTTCATCATACGAAAAGTTCGATTGGTAGATATCCCTTCCGATATCATTAAGGAAGCTTTCTATATTAGACTCACAGTAATCATACTTAGATTTAAGTTTGGTATCAGTTGGACTCTCTTTAGTATTACACGATATGAAACAGAAGATGGGGTTATGATGGGAAATCTTGGATTCAAGAATTCCAGATCCTAAGACACGCTCAGTAGAGTTCACTAAAATATTATCAATTAAGCTTTCGTTGCAACCCGGCTTGGCATGGGTGGCAATCGATATCAAAGGGATTAAATTGTTACTGTAGATAGTTTGTTCAAATTCGGCTATGTTTCGTCCCTGGGCCAAAAGATCAACATTGAAGTCACCTGTCAAGGCTACATTATTAGACGGTAGGAATTTCATCAACACATCAAGCTCAGCAAGTGCATCTAGAATATCACCACTAGGGGGCCTGTAAACAACACCAGCAATCTGTGGAACCTCTGTGTTAGTGATCTCAACAAAAAGTGTTTCAAGATTGTTAGAGCATTTACATAACTTTTCGATTCGGCTGTATTGGTACTTGTTGTCAATATATACACCAAGGCCACTACCTTTCTTTTCCCATCAGTTTTGGAGTTGTACTCACTGCTGTAACCATCAATTTTGTATAGATCCTTATTTTCCTCATCAATGTTTGTTTCAGCTAGCGCAATAACTGCAAATTTCTCATCTTATTGACTCATATCAGTAATAAAGCTGTCAAAGTTAGATGCGTTCCCATCAATGTTGTTAAACACAATAGATATAAACGGCTTGTTATGGTTAAGTATGTTTTTTGACAGCCGGTTGAAATTTGTCATGTTATAAGACCTACAGTCTTTTAGAATGTTTGAAATAGTATATATATATATATATATATATTTAAGTTGGTTTAACTGTCGGGGCCCTTTTAGAAAAACTCGAAGGTCGATTGTAGAGTGGTTTAGCACGTACTACTACTACATTATAAAAACTTTAAGTTTTAGAAGCTGAAGATTCCGAATTCATAATGACAAACGCTAAATTAAAAACAAAAAAACCGTCGGAGAATTTAAAGTATACACAGTACGACTAAAGCAACACAATTTTTCTGGAAATGATGATCTAACAAAGTTGAGTAAACACTAATACTGATAACTTAATAATAATCTGTAGAAGGAACAAAAATGTGATAATGTCTAACTCTAATCTCATTTTCTATAACGAGGTTAACATGTGATCAGTGCTAGTCACACGTACAACTATTGTTTTACATCTTCCAGTATTTATACCTAACTGTCAGAGTGACTATAAATTCTGTGAAGTCTAAAAATAATAATGATCTGCACTCTGCAGTCAAGTAACGATTTACGAAATAAAATTATATCGTTAGTCCCGGAAACGCGTCCAGGAATGAAGGTGATTGAAGAAGACATGTTGATGTTGTTCGATGCTTTGGTAGAATCATCGTGACCTTATAGTTATATATGGCCCAGGCATATGAACTTGTTATCCAAATCGGAGATATACCTTCATACGATGCGTGTGATAGGAATGAGGATCATATGCTGTTTACGAGTTACCCGGTGGATCACACACTGCATACGTGGCTTGAACTGACCCGAAGGAATTGTGATCAGTGGATCACTTCGAAACACGTAATGTAAACCGAAGAATCGTATTCGCAAGATCACTTCGAAATAAGTGACGTGAACCGACCCGACGAATCACTTAATGGTCCATAAGAAGGATAGGATGTGACCTGAACTTGGAAATAAGTCAGGATATTTTGTCGCAGTAGAGTACGCTACCTGGATCGTAGTGCGACACGTACCCTAGTGCGACAGAGGGTGTTTTTGTCGGACTTCGCACTAGAGTACGTGTCGCACTAGAGTACGTGTCGCACTACAGTACGATTACCGCCAAATTTAGCTTTGAT